GCTATGCAACCTGACTTATATCCCCTAAATGCAATCAAAGGGAAACTAGGCGTTCAAGAGACGTTTCGGTTGACCCAGAGACCAGCCGTTATCCTCCAAGAGCCGCGTGAGGTTTAGGAGCGGTACGTTCCTACGTTTCTTAACTACAGTAGATGGGGCTGTGAAATGAATGAGTAAATCGCCACATGAAACTGCCGCAAAGCTTTTCCAACCATACTAGAAAAATTCTAAGCCCGGTGGCACTTTCTTCTATACTGGGATGGCCTATGGCGGTTTCCAGGATAGTATTGCTCGCTCCAGGAGCAATACTGTTCCCAGAAGCGTATGTCACATTCCTAGGAAGCTAGAAACCCGCTATAGGAATATTCTTGCCTATTCTGGGATGGAAAGCTTTCAGGAAATCGGATAAATATTCTTAGTAAACCCGGCTTTGAGCCTAGAGGAGCATTGACAGGTTATGTACATGGAAGTCATCGAATAAGAACAGCTCTAGCAATATGGAATACGGTCTTTGGCGGGCGCATTTGATCGCGTGCATGTACGAGAATAGGAATCACGGACATGGATGGCGTAGTCAAAAACAATAGTGAATCGGAGCGAGATATTTCTTTTCCTCGTTCAGAAAGGTACCGATCCGCACTGGATGAATGAAAACGAACAAACGTTAGCACATCTTATCATGCATCACCGGGGAGCAGATACCACGATCCTTGAATTTTTGTTCGCCGTGGATATAGATCCAGCTGCCAGAGATCGTGATGGGAGAACATTAATGCATCACGGAGCTCTTCATGGTGCTTTTACTGAGGATCTGATGAATTTTCTCAATTGCCAAGGTGTCCTAGACCATTATCTCACGGCCACTGACTTCAACTGCAAGACTCCTCTCGACTATGCGAAGGAGATGGTTGATCGAGAGACACACGAAGATGTGTATGATGACCCAAGATGGAAAAACTCGTTGAAGATCCTGAACGCAACATTGCCATCGTGGTATGGATTCGTTTCGGAATTTGTGCAAAAAAGCTAATATAAAGCAGTACTAATTGAGGTGCGAAGTGATCAACGTTCTGTGTATTTAACATGATTTCTCGCTTGTCTCGCCATCGTATGTGTTGAAGTAGATGGCTTTAGCTCATTTTTGCTTCCTTTAAATGCAGGGCTCATAGCAAATGGGCCCCACTTTTGCACGTTTCCCGCGATGATTAGTAGAATAGTGGACCAGGTGCGACCAATTATGAGAAACTTCACGTAGGCAAGATGGATACATTTATCGACTTCTGGAACCTGATGGCCTATGATTACGCCGGTAGTTGGGGCACCCTTGCCGGGCACAACGCCAATGTCTATGCTTCGAAAGCGAGCCCATCCAGCACTCTATTCAATACTGACCAAGCAGTAGACTACTACACATCTAACTAAGTGGCTGCTGACAAGATCGTCCTGGGCATGCCTCTTTACGGCCGCTCTTTCATGGGAACAGCGGGACCGGGCACGTCTTTCACCGGAGTAGGGGGAGGTAGCTGGGAAAACGGTGTTTGGGACTACAAGGCACTACCCCTGACTGGAGGCACCGTCCGCTACTTATCCCAACCGCTGGCTAGCTATAGCTACAATGAGGCGCAGCGAATGATGGTCAGCTTTGATGATCCCCAAGCCGCACATGATAAAGCCCAGTATGTCAAGTCCAAAGGGCTTGTGGGGGGGCGGGAAATGTGGTGGGAGAGCAGTGGCGACAAGAAGGGCTCCGACAGCCTGATCACGACGGTATGTGCGCGAATCTACCCAGCAACATTGCTGCATTGGGGGTCGAATTAACAGGAGGCTGTATAGGTTGTTGACACATTCGGGACCCTGATGCAAGCTGCAAATCAGCTTAATTACCCAAGTAACATAGTAGATAGCCGCTCATGATTTGTACTAATAGGGGTAGGGCAATGATAATTCCGTAACAGCTGACTTTCTGCATGATGCAAAGCGCTTTGTTCTGAAAAATCGCCAGATAGCCGATGAAGCACCACTTCAGATTTTGCGCAGGATTGCTATTTGCACCTCGAACGGCAATAATTCGTACAGACTTCAAGACAGACCTTCCTAATTGGATATGCCAGTTATCACGAGTTAACGAAACGTGGAGTGCAGAATTACAAGCTCTTGAGGGCCATTCGGGCTGAGTTGAGTCGGTGGCCTTCTCGCCCGACGGCCGGCTGCTGGCGTCCGGCTCTGAGGATACGACCGTGCGGCTCTGGGACACAGCGACGGGCGGCCTGCAGCAGACTCTCGAGGGCCATTCGGGCTGGGTTGAGTCTGTGGCCTTCTCGCCCGACGGCCGGCTGCTGGCGTCCGGCTCTGAGGATACGACCGTGCGGCTCTGGGACACGGCGACGGGCGACCTGCAGCAGACTCTAGATACAGAGGATACTGTCTTCAAACTCTAATTTTCTCGAAATGGGTCATATGTAATCACCGACTTAGGTATCCTTGATATTCGATCCGCGCACGTAAAGCGTGCTTCTAACGCAATCTATAAGGATCCTGCGATCTTCATTGAGCGACGACAGTGGATAAACATGAACGGCAAAAATATGCTACGGCTTCCTCCTGAGTTTCGGCCTAGCTGTTCCGCGATTAACGGGGATTCACTTGCCTTGGGACACGCATCAGGGCGGGTTTCTTTCATACGAATTCGACTATAGCAGTCGTCAATGATTTCGATTTTCAACCCTTCCTCTAATTTCTACTCTCTTTGTAAAAGAAGGCTTGGGAGAGAAACACAATTCATGTCGCCCTCAGTTCGAGTAAAATGTGCCACCAAGTTTCACGAGACTCTTTCAAACACTGAAGTAAACTGCTCTATGCCGACCAGTGATAATACCAATGCCTTTACTAGATCATAAGACAGATAACTACATAGACTTTAAAGCCTGTGTTTCAGCGACAGTTATAGGTTACAAATCAGATATAACCAGAGCTCAATTCACAAACCCATACAGCGCCCTCGAAAATATTTTTCTATGCTATTTTAAATTTTTCCCCTTGAAGTTTAGAGTCTCGCAGTTTTCTTCGGACTTCCTTGAAACCTTCCGCTGCCGGGTTACACGAATTGCACAATAATTTTGGCATTGCCAACTATTACAGTCCAGAATCAGGTTTCACAAAATAAAAGATAACTTTCAGAGCTGCAGGAATCATGAGCGTGGATTCAATGATAGGCCACTGAGGAGGCTAGTGTTATGCTCGGCAAAGTTTCCTGCCAACTTAACAACACCGTGGATGTGCGGGTCGTCACAGGACCCACATCCCGCATGTAAAGATGCCTGACCAGCATCATGAATAGCTCCCTTTCCCTCCCATAGCAGACATTGTTGGTTACTCAGCACTCATACGCAGTATTCATTCGTATTTATCGGCGTCCTAACAGCTATGATCTACGCTTGAGCCAAGCTGTGTGGATTTTGAGACTTGGATTCATCCAAGCGAAATTCAAGCCGGCAGGAGCGAGACCTTCCTGTGCATGGTAACGTCCATTCGCGAGAAATGCCGCAAAGTGAATCGCGAGTGTTCAGCCAGCCACATGGAACAGTCGATAATATTCCAACCTCTTCATCGATATTGACTAAACACGAGTGTTCCTTGTGACTGAATGCCTGACTTCATTACTGGGGACCAATCTGCCGCCGGATGGTGCCACCTTTTGCGGGTGATGGGAAAATCTTTTCTCTTCTACAGAAGCCTTCGGTACAAATGAATAAGCAAACTTGAAGAGAGCTAAGGTAGTCTCAGTTCGCTGATGTGCATTGCCGATCAGTAAGAATTGTTGGCACGAGTGGTAATACGTATCTAGTACTATGTAGCGTTTGGAGTGCACGGTGCAAGCGAACAATATGCATCCAAAGTAGACACAGATGGTGACAGCTAATCACTTTATTCAGCTGAGTTGGGTTCTAAACCTGTCTTCGGGGTTAAATAGGATGATCATTTGGAGCCCGAGTAGCCGAATTCGTAGGACAGTACAGTAGTCCTTTCTGCGATTCAATGCCAACTCATACTAGGTGCGGGAGAAGCAGAGTCATCGACGGGGTGGAGTGAGGCAAATTAATTACATGTAAATACATAGCCACGAACTTAGCGACAGTCAATCTGTGATATGATCGAGTGCAATATAAAATCACTAGTACAGCAGAAGAGACCTTGGAGTACTTAAGGACATTTTCGCCATACAGGCCTAACAATTGAATATTGTTGATTGACCTTTACGGTACAGTTAGAGAGCTTCTATATTTTCAAGTAATATTCCAGCTCAATACATATATGTATTCACCGTTTTTATCAATTGCATAAAATGCCTTGGAATTAGGGATAATAATAAAAGATGGTGGGGTGGGCCCTGCGCCTAACATTGAAGGTGCATGCACAATGATATAAGAGAAGTGGGGGGTGTGTTAATTCACATTATATTAAATAATTTAGGTCGGGTAATTGATAGGACCCCCCGTGAAACTTGCACCGGGACCTGTGATCTATAGTAATCGACAGTTTTTGGTTGATAAAATTTGTTATGTATGTAGATTCGGGGGATGTGAGGATATTAGCAAATACACGGGCGTACTCTAATGGTGGAGAAAGTGTTGCTAGGTGCGAGCTGGGCGATGCTACATGTATGTCCTCTACACGGTGTGGTTGATCGGTAAAAGTTTTTGGGGTTACACAAGGTATGTGGGGTGACCATTTACCTATGAGAGCCTTAACTAAATTCGAGATGCAGATCTATGATTAGTAAATTAGAATGTATGTATTTTGCTATAAAAAGTCTGATATCACCTGGGCAAAGAAGTATCCTTCCTATATTCACTACCGATCAGATCGAATGACCAGATCGTAACAATGTCCTTCCAAGACCCATCCCGCGTCGATGACGGGTTCTGCCCCCCGGTTTTTTCAAACCGCCATCCTCTAAGTCTCCAAGTTATGCCGGTACGAGAAATGTATATATTGGAACCATGTTCGTGGGAGGTAAGTTTGGTGACGACATCGCAAAATACTTGGGACTTAGAGATGCTGTTGGCAAACTGGTAAAGGAAATCGGCGATCCCGGTTACCCTTTTCCGGATCCACTACACCACTGGTGTATAATTGTCATCGACTACGTGTATGAGCTAGTAGGAAAGCCAACCTTTGGCTGGCCCCCGTTTGTTACCATCAACTACGAGCGGACACGCGGCATTTCAGGGAGTTGGACCATGCACCGAATTGGAGTAACATCTAAAAGTGATGACCAGATTCACGAGGCTGGTGAGACCTTTCTCTAATATTTTAACCTCTAATCCAATATTGTTTTCTAGCGCAAAAATAATTTAACCTTAAGTCTAATGTATCCCTATAGCGCAAGAAACCATATTGAAGATGCCGCAAGCGTACCACGTGCTTGACAATAATTGCCAGCACTTTGTGGTAAACCTCGCCGATGCGATCTTGCGAGATCCTCGCCACAAATACTTGTCCGTTAAAGGCCAATTCATTTCTGCACATGAAATTGGAGTTCAGCCTGAGAGGAGCGAGCCAACACAAGATGAACAAAACTTCAAGGGCAAGGATGACTTTCGGGAAGACGAAGACATCGAGGAAGGAAACCCCGTCCCAATCACCGATCGAGATGCCGAGGGTGATGTTATTGAGAACGAGAAGGAACGCAGAAAGATGATGTTGAAGTCCATAGCTGACTTCATGGCTGATAACACTCCACCTATTCAGGAACGCGAGGTAATTTATCAGTAGCGTGCCGAGGTTAGACACTAGATCTTTTCGGGCTTTGCTCAATACTACTATAATGTAGTTATACATTCGTTCTACTTACAGTATGGATGGATGGATGGATGATCTCATTTACCCTGACCCCTCGCAATGAAAAGCGATATGCAGGCTACAACAACTATATATCCGCGTACTTACATGTAGAATATTCCACTTCCTGAAAACGAACTTAGAGCCTCGTCAAGGCCTGCCCTGGCCTAATTGCCGTTCCCAATGTTAGGCTGCCCTCGTGGCGCGCGACTCCAGAACCGTTGTGACGCCTCAGCGAAGTCTAGAACAGCCTGAACTGTCCTAGCCCGTGCGACGGTGTCTGGTTTACCTTTCTTACCGTCGGTTGAGCCTCCCAGCAGGCTCGAGACACTGCCAAATGCGTCTCCTACTTCACTCCGTAGTTTCCTGCGAATACCCCTTAATTCCGGACAGTCCACCAGCACGTGGCTGACCGTTTCCTGTGCGCCGCACACGCACTTATCATTGTCACGAAAGCCGAAGGTCTTGGCGTAGGTAGATAACCAATTGTGGCTTGTGCGTAGCTGTGTTAACAGGTACGCACGGTTCCTGGGCAGACTCCCGTAAAGCCTTCTCGTGTAGTTTGCTGGCAGGGTGCTGTCAATCTTCCGTAGGTGGCCGCCTTTGTTGGATGATCTCCATTCCTGCTCCCACTGATCTAGTATATTACCGCGGAGGCGCGCACTTTCCCTCGAGAGTAGCGGACGAAAGGGGTGGGTTTTGCCTGGGTACGCGGCGTCCTTGACCAGTCGGTCTGCAGCATCATTTCCTGGGTTATCGCAATGTCCTGGCACCCATTGAAGACGGAGCACGATGCCTGCTGCCTGGGCTTCTGTGGCGGCTTGAAGGATCGCGTGAACGATCCGCTGTCCAGATTTGTTCCTTGGGTTCTGAGTTGCGTGCAAGGCTGATCGACTGTCGCACAGGATTGTTGCTTGTTTTTGTCTGTTGGTTAAACCCTGATGGGCGAGCATGAAAACCATGCTAATCGCGTAGAAGATGCCAATGAGCTCCACAACGTGGACCGACCACCGGTCCATTGCTCCCACTTGGAATTGTTTAGATTCGACGACCTGTCGGTTGTCGTCAAGTGCTACGACCGCAGCACCAAGGCGGCTCTCGCGTCCGGAGGCATCTGAATAGACAACAATGTCTGACATGGACCGTGCAGCTTCGGATATCCGCGAAGGGTTCGGCTCGCCACGGTGGCAGCGGGCTTGGGTCGATCGTTTCTAGTTCGTCCAGTCTTTCCAGGTTCATGGTCTTCAACGCTTCCGCCAGTGAGAAGCGAGAGGATGTTCCGATATTGTTCCTTCGTCTCTGAGCTCGTGATAGTGCGTTCCAAATGGGGTGACTGCGTGGTAGAGTGTGGAGCTTTGCGATGGTCCTCTGGGCTCGGTGGCGGAGGCGGAGGCCAAGAGACATGACTACACAGCCAAGATTGCCCGTGGCAAAGTCTTAACGAGTTCTTGGAACTGATGTAAAGCAGCTTCACCAGGCCCGCTTGTTCAGGCCACTGCCCTGGTTTTCGGCACGCGCATCTTTCAATGGACGCCCTCCAGATATTAAGGCCCCGCCAAAAACCTCTCACCCCAGGTGTCTCCAGGTTTGCTCCTTAAGCATGCATCATCAGCATTTCAGCTAGAACGACATCACATCCATCGCCCAGCCGCAGGTTCTCAGTGCGAGTGAGATAGTATGACAGGTCGGACCTGCCCCACTAGGACGACACCACTTTGGCTGGTTAATTTCAGGTCCTCAGTGCGAGTGAGGTAGCTGTTCCTGTCTATTTGCACACCGACACGCGCGTCCGTCCTCTCGGGCCACATAGACAGTCTCGTCGGGTCCTCTCGACCCGTCCGTCACTGCCATTATGTGCCACGCCCCACAAGGAGAAGTCTCCCTGCTTCGCGTTACCAGCCGAGATCTCTCTCTGCTGGCCGACCGTGTCTCGCAAAGGCTGCTAAAAGTATCCCCGTTGGCCTAGCAGGATACCTCGGCCGTCCTTCACTAACCAAGCTTGTGTCCCTGGCTTTGCAGCCCTCTCGAACACCCGTGGCTGTGCCTTAACGAGTTCGTGGAGGGTCGTCGCCAGACTGTGTATGCCGCTTGGAAGATGCCATAGGATGTCCAGATCCGAGTTGCCCGTAGCTTCGCTTTAACGAGGTTCCGACCCAGGCCATTCCTTAGAGCTCCCAAACGATCTATTCAGTCTGCTGCGCCGCCAGTTGTATTCCCCCTCGCCGCTTAACGCCATATTGTGTGTTTCTATTTGTTCGTCTCGTCTTTCGTGTGCTGTCTTCGTTGATTTTCTTGTTCAAGTTCGTGGGCGTCTCGCGATCTCAGAGGGTGTTCAAGCTCAGAGGTGTCCTATCTCCTGCCTAGGCGATACCACAACCACTGGAGAACAAGTCCAGCTTCGGTCTCGAGTACGAGTCGAGTAGGCAGTCGTCGGATGGTTTTCATAACCCGTTTTCCTCTGGTTTGTGTGGGGTGGATGGGTGTCGTCAACCACGGAAAACTCTGCGGCCCGACCCCTATTCACCCCACGCGGATTCTTTTGGCTTCCCCTCCACGAAATGAGAGGGTACTGACACCGGACACCACGAGAAGGTAGAAATCCATCGTCCTAACTGCTTGACGAGAGCAGTTACCCAGCGTGCTCGCCAGGGGCAATTTATCTACAGTAGATTTCGAAAACAGTTTACCCCCACCGGACACACGTTTACTCTCCCAGAGACCCACTTTGGCGCCTAGTCCGGCTCGCCCGGGTTCTAGATTCTCCCGTAGCCAATGATATGGCGTCATATCTCGGGAAAGAGGCTTCATCTAGCCAGAATTAGCTTAGCGCAATCTTAGTGAGGCGCTGGGAAAGAAAGCGTGTGTGTCCCCGGGGTAATCTGTTTTCGAAATCCTCTGTAGAACTAGTTGAGTTGGATAGAAGAATGATACTTATCCAAATGACATACTTCTCAACAGGTGACATTCAGAGAAAACTTTCAATAGAACGTGACAAATACAGATAAATCAGGATCACCTTTGTTTTCACCCATTTTGAGCCTCCCCCAAACAATGCCTCTTTTTAATTGCCCTGTAGTGGAAACCAATTTCTCCTAGCCAGTATGTGGACCATTGAGTCTGCTATGGCTAATAAAATCATTGCTCAAGACATTCGCGACGCCATTTCATCGAACACCACCCTCGAATATGAAACGAGACTGAACACGAGAATCAAATGCATGATATGAAGACTTGGGTTCGAGTTTGGCGTAGCAATAATTCTCTCGAAAGGTTCCAAGAGGTAGACAGCAGCGCCCAACGTGTTACTGAGCACGAAACGCCCAAAAGCGGTGGCCAAAGACGAGCTCTCGGTGACGGGCTCTGCAAGCGCGTGCATTGTTGGAACTAATGCAAATAGAACGACGCAGACCATGTGAAACGGCAATCGATTTGGGGGGATTTCGGTGGCCATCTCCTCCGTGGCTGCGTACTCTGGCAAATTCCCGAGGGCCATTATGGTGAAAATAATCATATATCCCAACTGCAGAAGAGGCTGTGCGGGCAATAAAATCACAATGGTGGGAAGAGCTGCTGTCCAGACGAGAAATAATAGGCCACACCATGTGATGTTCTTTTGTTCTTGAGCTGTGCGGACGTCAAAGAGGTTAAACGCTCGGTGACAGAAAACACACAAGCTCCAGAGCATGACGCCACTGCCAAATGCAATCATTGATAGCGCCATTGGGATGGATTCTTGACCGGTAGGAAAGCGAAAAATAATGAATTGACACAGGAATATGGAAAAATAGCCCAAAGTGAAAATGCTCAGCATACAAGCTAAAGCAGAATCAAAGAGGTTCTGTACGTCGAAAGTTTTCATGGTGGCAAGAATAATGACAGGAAGGAGTGGCCTTTGATCGAGATCAGACGTTAAATCGCCCAGATCTATAGAAGAATTTGGTAGGCCTCTGGTACATTGCCAGAGGAAAAGATGAGACTGCGGACCGCAACTTTTGAATCTGCATCAACGTTGGATTGGTGAAATAAGCAATCTCTGAGATATGTAACCAGTTAAACAGTTTCATCACCTACACTGTTGCTCAACTACATGAGATATTGTTGTATGGCGCCTCTTCTGGGCGACAACTATGTATTCAGGGTCATCCATGGCACATTTGATATGTCAGGAATCCGTAAGACTGATTCTCCCCAGTTGATCAACCCGACACGATGGAAGATATTGAAGAAATCGTGCGGAGAATGGGACGGCAACAGACGGAAAACATATACTACCGTGAATGCTACGCGCTCTTCAAACATCTTCAAGATGCCACGCAACAGACCGTCAACAACTTGAAAGAACTCTACGACGGCCATCATCACTCTTCGTCAAATGTTCATGAGCGCCTGGCAGATTTGAGAAATACAGTTTGTGTTTTAGTGCGAGATGCCTGTCAAGCCCAACGAGAATGTGAAGATCTTTGCCGAAAGCGTCCATCTCTTTCCGCCTGTGATGCATTCGGATCAATGGCAAAAATGTGTGATCCGTCTGAATCTCAAACTGGGCGATCAGGAGACGACCGAGACCGCCGACAGAAACGTGCAAACTAGCGCGGTTGGACATCATTTACGCTTCTATGTACATTCTTCTCCTGTACCGTTGCCTCAAAAGAGCAACCGGTCGTGTAATGCTCGCGCTCGGTAGTACTGATCATTGGAATCGCAGGGCGACTTTTCTTGTTTGGGAACAAAGTGCAGAAAAACAACCGTTCTGTGACGTAAAAAAGATCAGATCCCACACATAGTATTCGACAGGGGCATTGGGTGCTCAAATACAACAGCAGTATGGCTGGATCAGCCAAATGACAAGTGCCCCAAGAGAGAAAGCAGTTGCTAGCCATGTGGCCACATAATTCTGTGTTCCAATAGATATCTGTACACCAATATCCGCCACCGTCATCTTAGCACACGCTACGATAAGAGCGTAAAGAATGGACGAGCCCACTGTGGCCGCTAAGATAAATAACGAAGAAACCTGAGACAATTAGTAGTGGTCAAACAAGTCATTAGAGGAACACCTACGAAGCTAATGACGGCAAGAAGTCTTCCTCCTTTCAAAGAATAAGCTTTGCGACAAGCAACGAGGGCCGTGAGTGCGTTTGTGACAAGTGCTGTGATATACAGCCAAACGATCGTTCGTGATAGTCGATGGTAGCCTGAAACCCGTCCCCAGTCGACTGTGGGCATGAGTCTGCGTGCATCCGTCATAAGAGGACCAAAAATAGTTGAAAAGTCGAACGTGAATGCTGTGCTTGGATGTGAACATTGTATTTTGGACCCTTCTCGCTTCATGCAATAGCCCCAAAGACCCACGGAGTAGTATTGGAACAACTGAGAGGACAACTTCTGAGCCTCTTCTTTCATCTTGTCATCTGCATCATGTATGGCAGCAGTCATGGTTGTGGATGCACCTTCGGCGGCGGCAGCTGCGCTGTTAACCGCGCCGCCCATGATATTGTTGTGACTGATAACCTCGTCTGGGATTTCGGCTTTTGATCTCACATCAACATCATGTCGGACGAAGTTTGTGGCGTGTTTCAATTGTGGAAATCCGGTCGTATTCACCTGGGCTAGTCAGCCTATTATAATCTTTGGCAGGAGGAAGTTGGCTTGCCTTCAAAAAGTATAGGGATTCCGGGGCAGATGGAGATGTGCACGCAATAAAGACGACAATTAGGCATATCAGAGAAGCAGTCGACAGGGACAGTGCCAGGGATGAGACCGCCTGGTCAAGTCTTTGACCAGGGAGCTTCATCGTTTACAGATCTCCCAGACTACTGTAGCGGCAGCTTATCACGTTAGGCTTTGCTGGTCGTTCTGATGTCTCCGGGCTTAACTTAGATAAGTTCTCAAGCAGGGGTGGTTACACAGATGATATTTAGATATTTATAGTCTTATGTGCGCTGGCTACGTTTGCTCAGCTCGCAGTAAATTTGAAGCAATTAGCTTCCTCAGTAAAAGGGGGTCGGCGTTTGGTGTGCATACAGTACAGACCGAGAGCTAGTTCCTGAATGCGAGGATATAACGAGTGAAAATTGACTGTTAGAAGCCCGTCAATTTGAGAATATGGTTCATTTATAGATTGCTTTAGAAAGCAGGATTGTCTCATGTTATGAAGATGGCCTCGTTTGACTTTGTCTACAACTGTGTAGTAATCAAAAGAGCTGTATCTGCTCAGCCCGACTCGAAGACCGCATCCCATTATTGATCTAAAGTGGATGGAATGGAGCGAGATATTATTATTATTATTATTAATCAAGTTTATTGTCCGTATCGAGCCCTAAAGCTATGACAGACCACGGGTCTGAGGTTGGGTCTGTTTTCGCTTGGTATAGCTGTTTCCAGACCCCCGCTGCTATGAGTTCCTGGGCGTGAGCCCCATGTATATACAGTCAGGTCCTTTTCCTCGCCCCAAGCCGCCTATTTGCGCAGGGCATTCGAGCCTTTTGTGGCTCTCCTCGGTGTCTCAACCGGGATGGGTGTCCCCTAGGCTGAGTGCCTAGGCTACCCTTCCTGCTATCCTTCCCCCATCCTCTCAGTTTCCTCCAAGTCCTCTAATCCCCATTCATCATCTCGTCGAGCTCGCTCTGCCAAGGCCAGGTGATGGTCTTGAGGCAGGGCTGCCTTCGTCGTGGCCAAAAATTGTAAGATGGCCTCTGTTGCCTTCGGTTCCCCAAGAAGCCTGCCTTCTGGGCACTCTTCGGCTGCTGACGGTCTGGTGACCCCAGCTCGATCCAGCGTGCGGTACAGCTTGATTCGCTGGTGCTGCCACGCTCGACATTCAAAGAGAACGTGATGCACGGTCTCTTTCGGTGCATCGCCTTTCTCACACGCAGGGCTTTCCCGTGCGTGAATCTGGTGGAGGTGAGCTCCGATAGCCGCATGGCCGCTCTTTAACTGGAAGAAGCGGGTGGCCAGCGGTTTCAGGGCTCGCGATGCGACTGGGTCCAGTGTCCAGCCTCGATACGGTCGATAGGTTCGCTGTTTATAGCGAGAACGCTTTGCTAAATCTCGGGCGAGCCAGACTTGTTTGCGGTTTTGGATGTTCTCCGTGCACGTCCGGTTGACAAACGCCAGTGAGAGTCCTGTGATTCCTTCTGGATGGCACCCCGGTCGACTAGCCGCGAGCTTTGCCGCTTCATCAGCTTTCTCATTTCCCTCGATTCCGGCATGGCCGGGCACCCATTGAATGATGGTTTCTCGGCCTCGCTCCTGTAGAGCTCTGGCTGCTGCGTGAGCTCGAAGCGTCAGTTCCTGACCGGGGCCTGCTTGCGTGTGTCGCAGCCTCGCAATCGCGGCTTGGGAATCCAGCAGAACTGTGATTGGACCACTGTCATCCACTTTCAGTGCGGCCTGGAGGGCCTGCACGACTCCCACAAGCTCCGCATCAAAGACTTCTCGTCCCGTTCCAAGGGGAAAGCTCCGGGTCCTCCACTCTCCGCAAGGCTCGTGCCAGGCAATCCCCGCTCCTGTCCGGCCGTTCTCGAGCCTCGACCCATCTGACCAGATCGCGCTGCCTGGTTGCACCGTCCGCGCTGCGGTGAGAGAGTCCTCAGTCCTTTGGACAATGATCCTCCCTAGAAATCCGCTGCCATTACCGCGCCGAGCGCTCTCGAAGCCCGCAGATGGATCGGCTGGGAGGATGTTTGCTAGTTGTCGCGCTAGGTGCTGTCCTAACGACCATGGTCCCCGGCCGTGCGGTTCGGCCCAGAGTCCATTTCCAGGGGTGTGCTCCCCAGGTTGCGCATGTTGGTCGCCCTCCCGAAAACTGACCGGGAGGATTGATCTGGCTGGACTATCGTCCGGTAGGCTAAGGAGCCGAGCCGTGTACCGCAGCTGACGGCCCTCAAGGAGGACCTCGGCCGGCGTTAGACCCGCTTCCCTATTCAAGAGACCCACGGGTGTGGTCTTAAGCATTCCTGTGATCGCACGGGCTTGTCTGTTGATCATCCGCTGCATTCCCGTGATACAGTCCTTTTGGCCGCGCCACCAGAGTTCCGCTCCGTACAGGGCTACCGACTGTACCGCAGCCACCTGGATCCGATGGACCAGGCCTGGCGCTAGGCCTTGTACGCGACATAAGGATTGAACCCGAGATTCTGCATTCCGGGCCTTGCGAAGGCGTGTCTGATAGTGCATCTTTAGTGTGAGGCCGGCGTCTAGCCAGATCCCCAGCCACCGGGTGGCCTCGTGGTTAAATGAGACTGAATGGCCTCCTACCATGATGCGGGCCCGCTGAATTTGATTCCGTAGCTCCTGTCCACGCTTGCGGGTGAACAAGACCGCCTCGGTCTTCTTCGCCTCGAACTGCACGAGGTTGCTCTCACCCCATTCGATTGCAACCTGGGCAGCTTCCTGTAGTTTCTGACATGCTTCCTGGACCGAGTACCCTGGCGCTAGAAAGCCCATATCGTCTGCGAACGACAGCAGCCGTACCCCCGGGATGGCCCTTTCAATTGCGTCGAAGATCCCGCTTAGGTAGATAAGGAACAAAATTGGGGACACCGGGGAACCTTGAGGCACGCCTGAGTCGATCCTGTGGGCTGGACATTGTATATTGTCGATGACGAGCTGGACCAGTCGACCGCTCAGGAACGACTGTACCCATCGGATCAAGTCACCGTCGAAGCCTAGCTCTTGCATGCGAATCACGAGTTTTCTATCGTTGACATGGTCGAACGCGCCCGCCACATCCATGAAAAGAGCCGCCATGAGCTGCTTTTGTTTCCACGCATCGTGAGTGCTCTGGATCAAGCATGCCACGGCATCCACTGCGCTACGTTGTTTGCGGCCACCCATCTGTCCGGGGTGAAGGCTTCCTGTCGTCTCACAGTGATCTGCAATAGCCTCTGCCGCGATCTTTTCCACCACCTTCCCTAGGCAGTTTAGCAGGCTGATGACCCGATATGCCCTGACGAGCGTATGGTCCGGCTTATCGAGTTTTCTCAGTAAGATTCCCTTAGCGGTCTTCCATGCTTGTGGGTGAATGCCTAGCCGGAAGCACTGCCGGGCTAGCGCTACGATCCGTGAGCTATCCCATTCCCACACGAGTCGAAGGGCTCGAAAATTCAGCCTGTCGATGCCGGGCGCCTTTTGAACCGCCTGATGGAACAGGGCTCTCTTGACCGTTGCTTCGTCTATGCACTTGTGGAAAGATCCTGGGAGAACTTCAACAGCCTCCCTGTCGCCCGGCGCTGGTGGAAAGGCGGTTTCTCGGACCAGTGCCTCTTGCTCGCTGATAGACACGGCTATCTCTCCTTGCGGCCCTTTGAGGGTGGGGGTGATGGCTGTTGCTTTGGGCTTGGTGAGCCTAAGCGCTTGCCAGCATCGGGCCGTTTCCTCACACGGGTGGTCTGGGGTGTCCGTCGGCCCTGCCAGGAAGGTTTCCCAGCACGTTCGTTTCGCCCTTCGAATAGTCCTGTAGTAATCGTTCCTTGTTTCTCGAAGGTCGATCGTGGTGATGTGCTGCCCCTGCCACGCTCTTCTCGCCTGGCAGTAGGCCTCGCGCGCCTCTTTGACTTCTCGATTCCACCAGCGTTTGGACCGTGGGGTCACTCGCACTGGCTTCGCATACTGGTTGAGCACTGCCGTAAGCGTTTCCTGCACCCATACTGCCTCTCCCTCGACCTCCTCCGCCGTACTTGCGTCGTCTAGGAGCCCTCTCTGTTCGGCTTCTGCTTGCCACATCTGTTTCGCTTGCTCCAGAGCTTGGCTGTCTGCCTGGAGAGCCTGGATCTGCCACCCCGTCACTTCGTCCGATGGGGGTTCCCATCCGTGCTCTATTGGGGCCCATTCCATCACCAGCAGCTCGTGATCTGACCCGGTTGTGTGGTCCTCATCCACCGTCCACACCTGCAAGGGCCCCATGTCCACTGTCGTCAAGCTCAGGTCGATAATTGAGATCCCCGGCGTTGTCTTCGGCCGTGTCGGGATCCCTAGCGTGTTGTTGATATAGAGACTTTCGCTCTCGATCAGATCCTCCAGTGGTCTCGCATTCGTGCGACTATTCGCTTGCGGGTTCCATAGCGGGCTATGTGCGTTGAAGTCTCCGAGAAGTAAACATCTACCCTCCAGAACATTGTCCCAGTACACATCCTCTATCGCTCTCCTGCGTTCCTCGATGTCCCCCTGCCAGTATAGACCCGGACCAAGCCAGTTATCATAGCAGTTAATCACGCGGGTCCTTCGCTTCTTTTCCTTCGCTCGGCCCAGCTCCCAGACGTCCACAGCCATGATATATGGGTGATCTATGAGATCTGTACGGGCTTCCACTACCACCTGGTTGAATAAGTCGCGCCGGATTGCCACGGCTACCCGGCGATTTCCCTGTGCTCCCGCCTCGGGCCAGTAGATCTGGTATCCGCCGTGTCGGAATTCATTGCCTATATAAGGTTCTTGAAGGCATACTAGGCCCACCCCTAGCTCTAGCCCAGCCTCGAGTGCCGCAATCGTAATTGCATAGGTCTTGCGGCAGTTGTGTTGTAGGATGCGCATTATTGATCAGATTGGTCATCCACCGTCGCGTTAGTCCCTTCCGAGGCGTCGTCACTGAGGTCCATCGCTTCCTCTGCTCTTGGCTGTCGGTCTGCGGGGGATTGCCGATTCGTCGGGGCTAAACCCTCCGAGGCTACGCTGCTACGCACTCCCGCGGTAGGCCTTTGCAAATCGATCGTGGGTGATCCCGGGCGATTCGGGGCCGACGGCACCGAGTCGCTTCGATAGGCTTCCCTGCTATCCCGTTGCTGCTTTCGAGCCGCACGCCTAGCTGGGCAATTTCCAGCGGTGGCGGAATGTGGCCCTCCACAGTTACCACATTTCGCGGGCGTGTGTTGGCAGGCGGTGCCTGCCTTAGCCGAGCATTCTACTACGCGACAAGTGTGCTCGTGTCCCTCATGTGGGCCCGCACAGATAAAGCAACATGGCGGATTGCTCCCACAGGCTTTGAAGCTGCGATGGCCAAGGCGGCAGCATCGAGGGCAGACCGTATCTACCCCCACTTCCCAGTAGTGTTCTGTCTTATACCGGTTTCCTCCAAACCGAATCCCATGGATCAGAAGCTCCCGGGCCTCCTCGAGGGACCCTACAGTGACGACGATAGTAGACCATTTCCTGCTGCCATCCTGCATATCCCTGTGTCGCCGAAGCCACGTAGGGTCTCTCTTCAGTCGGATCCGGCTTCCTAGTTCGATTTCCTCCCTGGCAAGGCCTAGTCCACAGCTTAGGTAGCGACGAGTCGGAACTCCGTGCACCTTGACTCGGTACCACTGCTCCGGTAGCTCGGCCGAAATGATTGCCGGATCTGCCTGTCGTGCTGCCGCAACCACCAAGTCCCAGTAGGCAGGTACTAGCATAGACCCTAGAGCTTCTTTCTCCAAGAGCACGGTGACCGCACCAGTGCTACTATATCCCGCATCAATTACCCGGACGAAGCCTGGGAATTCGGCTTGGGCAAGTCCGCGGTTGACCGCAAGGATGATGTCCTCTTTGTCCACACGGGGGGCCGTTTGGCTCTGCTCGCGTCGAAAGACAATTCGTCTGGCTTCTTTCGGGGCGTTTTTCGCCGGCGTAAGCGCACTAGGTTGGGCTTTCTTGCTTGGGTCGGTTCTTTTTGACTGTTTTCTCTTGTGTACAACTTCTTGCCAGCCGTGCCCTCCAGGCTTGGTGGCCAGCAGTGCGGCGATGTCCGCGAAGCTCGATGACGGTTGGTTGTGACGAGATACGGGCTTAGGTCCTGGTACGTAGTCTTGAGCGCGGGCTCGGAGATGGTCTTGATCGTGAGTGCGGAGTGTTTTTGGCACCGTTGGCCCACGCTCAGTGGACTGTGGCACTGCGGTTTGCTCTGGCGTCGCCTTTCGAACTTGTTCTAGTTCAGCCCGAAGCTGGGTGACTTCGCTTTCCAGTGTGGCGATGCGTTCTTTGAGCAGGTCTTCCTGAGCCTGCTGTTCAGCCTTCCAGCTCTCTAGGTCTTCGGCCAACTGTGTCTGTATCTGTTCCAGCCGGTCCTGGTACACCCTTTGCACTTGCGCTAGGAGGCCTGCGAGTGCTTTACCCGTGTCCTCAACATCCGTATCCAAAGTGGCTCGCCCCAGCACCCGGGACGCCTTCCGCTTGACATTTCGAGCCTCGAGGGCCCTATGAGGAGTCGTTTCACGTGCAGGTTCGGTCAGCGACTGCCCCAGTTCAATCAAAGGCGCTGGGACTGTATCAGAAAGCCAGCGATTTGGCGTTGGAGTTTCGAGCCCACCGCACAGTGATGAGCTGCGGTCGGGAAGATCAAGGAACGACGCGTTCATTCCACCACCACGTGGTTCTAGGACCTCCATGGTGGTTTAAAGTGGCCGTAAGGCCTCTCTCGATTGGTTGACGCGTAAAAATTACGTGTTTTCGATAGGTGCTGATTTTTGGTTTTCTCGCTCCTTATATCGTGTCCACGAGCCCCTGATTAGTCGTCCTGGAATATCCAATCGGATATGTACCTTAGCATAGTCGAAGGACAGAATTTTCGCATACGTGGATTCCCGACATTTTATTCCGCTTTTAGCTACCAATTGGATTATATCTCGCTTATATCGCTAAATAATTGACGTCCCACACACTAATCTCGCACGTATCGTGATGCTTTTCTCATCTTCTTCTGCATCATCATCACCAACGGCATTATGGCTTCATCTCGCCGCCCGCAGTGTGAGAATACGCAACACCTCAACTACGTGCCCTTGAATGATGGCTATGAGGACAATACACCTCTTAATGATCGACTTTCGGACTTCCCTACACAGTCTTCTTCTTTCTCTGATATTGATGAGGCTAATACTGCAATTGGCACAGATACAGGTATATCAGAGTCCGATATCCTACCATCAGAGTCCATTTCACAGCAAATATCTGATATACCTGCTTCTAATCAATCTTCTGTATCTCTTCAATCATCTATATCACTGCCGGTCTCCCAATCGGTCTCAAAATGACCTCGGAAAGGCCCAATAACCTGGATATGGGCACACTTCACAACAACTGAAATTGATAAGAAGTGGGAATCGAATCGTGCCAAAAAGGGGAAGACTAAGGACTATATTCACCAGTGTAACTACTGTAGTGAATATAGGATATTTGACTCAAAAAGAGCAGGATCAACGAGCCCGGACTGACTTACGATCGTTGCCAATAACTCCCTCATTTAGGACACCGCTCTGGCCTTGATGAGCCACATCAGCAATCCAGATTCCCCGAATGCGAAGCCCGATAGCTTTTGCGCGAATATATATATCTTCCCAAGTGGCTCATAGAGCTCCTATTCAACTTGAAGTTATTGCTGTCAGTTGCTGTGTCAGTAATAAAACAGATTCAAAATGTAAGATTGCGCCATCCAACAACTTGAATGGCATAACAGACCTTAGAAAACCCGCATGCATGTGCTGCAATTATCGTCACATCGCTGGGCTGCGGAAAAATATGATCGTTAGGGATGTATTGATTCACTACCAGATTAAGAATATCCTCCTGGCTCTGGGAAGTGGCAGCAGGATATTCTCGGATATGCTGGCTAGGAATTATATGTTTCACGATGTTAAACAAGGCGGATATCGTACTAGTAGGTGATTATCTAGGTAGTATATTTTCCCCATTTACTTGGATCAAAATTCAGCAGGTAAACTACAACGCTCCACGGGCTCCTACTAGTATATATGTATATTGTATTATCAAGCTCAGAAAGAGCGAAATACTAAATCCCGAAAAATACGCATTGCAGGAAAGATACAGACCGAAGAATATGTACGTCATAGTACATCTTGTGCTACTTCAGATGTTCAAGTTTTGTTCAAGGTTCTAAAATGATGCATTATTGTGCAGAAGCCGACGACCTCGGCAAAATATTTTCCAAGTTGTTGAGGTCGTTAAAGTGTCTAAACCTTTCAAGGTTCGCGCCTAGGTTAATCTAAGGGCCCACCAAATCAAATCAAGCTTAAACATATTTATGCAATCATCCGTGGCAAGATAATCCCGAGGAACGAAGAAGCCTAAAAGATGACAGATGTCGTATTACATTTTCCTTCTCAGCCTTAAGGATCAATATTTCAGTTTTCACTTTCAAATGATAGGTGCGAGGCCAGAGGTATAGGTTTGCCATCAAACCATATGAATGAAATGCCGGCCATTGCAAGGCATGTCATAGCTGAGGAGTTAGCGAGAGCGTAATCTTCAAGTACTAGTAAAGGACGATGCCTACCAAAAACGATGTTCATGTAATAAAACCCAACAGTCTCAAGGAGTAGACTGGAAACTAAAGGCCCAACCATCATTCCCAGACTACAGGCCACATCGATCATAGAAAAGACACGGGAACTGCCACCGTGTGGTCCGAAGATATAAGGATCTTGGGCCTGCTTGTCTCTAACCACATCTAGCAAACTAGTAAGCAAAGCACCAGATAGAGTAGTATAAATGAATGAGAGACTGCGTACAGGTTAATTGTATAAAGCCTGCGCCATGAACAAGCATAGATACAACCCCAAAGGCTATTACACAGCCAATGAATATAGGCTTCCCGTTGGTGTCGCTGCTGGCCCATGGAAAACTGTTATTTCCAGGAATTCCTAAGAACCAGAGCAAAGGTGCAGAGCAAAGCCAACCGACTGTGGTGGGCACCTTTAGCCCAAAACGATCCCGAAGCCAGCCAAACACACCGGCTAGCAGTATGGTAGGGATTTGCAAACAGAAAAACACCATTCCTGTTGGTAAACTTCCCCAACCAAACACCAGTCGGAGGTGCACAGGAAGACTGCTGTTAAATGTGGCCATGAGCAATGAATACCACAACGCGTTTGCGAATCCAGGGATGACCCGTGGCTCTTGAAGCATAATGCGATAGAATCCCCTACTGGAAGAGTTCTTTCTAGGCAACTGGTCACTAGATAACAGATTCGTAGTTTCATCCGGGTCTATATAGTGCCGGGATTCCGTACTGGACGCAGAGGATGAAGATGAAGAAGGCTTAAGATCCCGCGGCTCGAGCATAATGAGACGAGCGATAACGTCTATTATAAGAACCGTTAAAGGGACAGACCATGTCAGCCAATAGCCTAGAAGTTGCAGTAGCACACCGCTAATCATAGGACCGCTGATGACACCTGCGGTCACAAAGGACATAGCAACCCCCATAGTTGCCCCGAGGTCTTTCGCGGCGACACTTTCCATCAAAAGCGCGAAGCCGACAACCCATGAAGCTGATCCTGTAATCCCTTGTAGAATGCGACCCAGAAAAAGGGCCCATACTATTGACGGTCAGTAAAGCCGTAGATTATGGTCTTGAGAATTTTAATAATCATCAGGTCGTCATTTCTAGGAAAGCATCTTACAGGAATGAGTCAATGCAATCAGGAGAGTGCCAGTGAAGCACCCCGCCAGCGCAATTAGGAGTGGGACTTTGCGATTAGGCGACTTATCAGCAAAATGGGCAATAATCGGAGCGGAGATGAGTGCGAAAAATCCATGGACGGCAAGTAATGCCGCGGACAAGGGTTGTGTGCGGGACTGATCAAGAGATAGACGTTTCTCAATCATATATGGCAATATAGGCACGATAAAGCCATAAAGAAAGGTTTCTTTTGGCAGAGAAAGTCAGGAAATAAATCCAAATGATATTTGTGAACACAGTGCTGACTCAAACAGGAAAGGCTCACCAGAAAACAAAGCGATAGTAATCGAAGTCGCAATCAGCCATCGAGACGAGCGCCATCCACAGCCCTGTGACATCTTGTCAACGCTGGCTGCCATAATAAACCAAAATGCTATATTGCCAACGTAAAAAGCATTACGAGAAAACCATGCGAGATAGTATCTGAATATAGTGCCTATTAGAAGAAGATCTCAATTTGGAATATGCGAGGAGTCTTCAATGGACACAGAAGTATTGGCACATTCAATGTTTGAAGATAGGGGTATATATGTACTAGGGGTTGCGTGGTTCACTTCTGACATGGGTCCTACTACAAGTTCAAGTTATTGCATATGCAGTCCTACGGCTTGGCAAAACATATCCACCAGAAGGTCTTTCTACATCCACATCAGCCAGCCACAGTGTCGATCATAATGGCCATACGTCTCTCATCGCCGCGGGGCCGAACTTTGGTTTCTTTCAATGTTGAAATGTTACTACGCGAATGCACTGATGGATACATATATGTATACTAGTAGTAATCTCACTGCATGAGATATATGTAGTACTGCATATTATACGTATTATATAACAAATAAACTCCATAACAAATGGGAAATCACCTGCAGAATTGAGGGATTTCGGAATTTCGGCATAACTGCTTTCCCATTTAGTCATCCAATCGTCGATCCCCGCTTCAATACATACATAATAACTTTGGTTCGGGCCAAGTTCGGGCCAATCATGTTGTCCTTGAGAATTCCCTTTCCATATAATGCCAGATCTTGCACTTAAAACCAATATAGCCACAAGCGAATGCATGAACCGGAGGATAGGAGGAATCTGGAATTACCTTTCCATCTCCAATCTTCACCTAACAGTGCTATTTCCAAACTTCACCCGAAACCAATGAATCAAAGGAAGTAGTTTTGCATCTGGACCCAAGTTTTCCTTAGCCTCTGATGCCGCTTTCTTTAATACGGCGGAATTCTTCGTTGTCGTTGGGATATCTCCGTAGTATCGCCCACCCGTGGCCAGCGTAAATGCGAAGAGGAGCCGATGCTCACCGAGTTCAGGAATGCCACGGCCAAAGTCCTCCCAGGAATCCATTGGAACATACCGGGACTTTATGCCGGTTACCCAGTACCATCCATTAATGTCAAGGATCACCTAGTAGATGGATAAGAGCAAAAACGCTTACCGGTCCCAAAAGATTCGGTCAGCTGGTCAAATGTCACAACATCGGCTGCGACGGCCTTGCCATGCTATTGCTCAGGGCTCAACAGAATCCCATAGACCAATTTCCCAAAGTCTCTTGTCATACTTACAAACGATGGGTTTTCATCGGCACCCCAGACAGGGGCGTGAAAGGTCATATATCCGTCAGACTCCAGTCAATAGGGAAACCCTCCAAAGACAGAGCTTGGTTCATCAAGGAACTGCTCGTAATCCAGGCCGCGTAGATGCGGCAAATACTGATAAAATGACTTTTCGCTGCGGCGTATTTGATGATGCGAGTCCTCACTGTGGGAGGGTCAGTGGGATCAGTAATTTAGTGAGTTTTGTGACTGGCCTACTTTCCAAAGGCTGGATGAAAAGTTTGCCCTTTGTCTGCTCTAAAGATGACGCAAACGAGCTATAAACGAGATATCGAACGACCACTGCCACCAAACTATCAACGATCGATTCGCCCAGATTGGGATCAGTCGGGGTGTGGTTGCGAAAGAGCTTCCCCCATTATTAGCGTGTCGACCGGGGTATTGGAGAAGGTGTGCTCACCGGATCATCCGATTTGTTATTCACAAAAGCGGCCTAAAACGTCCTCTCCATTTCCGCTTGGTTCCATCCATCGGCACGGACTACCTGGGGCCCAGTGCAGCCAGCTGCTAGCTGGCTCGACTGGCTGGATCCCTTGTGATGGCGCGCACTTAAAACCTGCCGGTTTCGTTCTCTAAAAGAGAGTAGACAACCGACCGTCCTTGGGTACCGGTGGCCCCAAATACGGCTAGGACTTTGTACTTGACAGTCATAGTGAGACAAGGAGCAAGGAAGCTAGGCGGCTGAGATAAAGGCCATGGGTGACGGAGAGTGGGAGGGAATAGAAATAAGCACGACACCCTTTTCACGGCTGCTGGAAGAGGTAATCATTCTGGAAAATGACTGCCTTTACCAGACTTTCTTTGAGCGGTCTATATGCAAACGCTTTAGCATATGTACGTGTATGTGGAAGTGTTCGATTCCCTGTACTGATGGTATTGTCCTGTCACCTCAATACACACCACTCATGCATTACATCTGGTTACATTGTGTAGACAAAACTATGAAAACACCACGTGACTCCAATGGGTCCAATTTTGGATTCTGCCAGCCTAAAACCTCATGAATTTTAATATTGGATATACCACCCCCATGAAGGCATTTCTTTGCTATAGGAATGGTAAAAATGCTTTAAAGGATAGAGAAAGGAAATCAGATATAGAATCACCCTAGTATATCAACATGTTGTTCTGATCTACAGTATATCCAACGCGTACGGGCGCGTCGTGAAGGCGGTAGGAATTGCAGAGTACTCATGATTGGATAGTTGGAATTGACGTTGGACCCGTCATCACGTGGGGTTTCCAGATTTTTTGTCTACGCACTCTACATGACCGGGAGGCCCACAGATCTCTTCACAATATGTACAACCCTCATGCACAGCTACAAGAGGAAGGAAGGTCTGAGCTTGCTTAGGAAATGATCGTCTCTTCTGTCACGATACAACGTACATCTAATACCTGGGCAGTAGCCGAGCCTTCGAGCGGGGAAAACCTGACCTTGATGCTGAGGATGCATATGTGACTTGACACGGACAGTTAGCCTGGGGTTGTTTACCAACAGGGGGTGAATGAAAGAGCGGTCAAAGACTCGAGACCCCAGGGGGAAGACAATCTACACATCACACACTCGGTTTGGGATCGTCACACAGGCGCCACAATATTCGAGGCCATGCATGTAGGTGCATATGCAGGACGGGCTACCTGCGGTTTAAAATAAATCGACTGGGACCTCTAGAGCCTTCATCAAGATAATATCATCGACCCCCTGGGACCACGACCCCTAGAGTTATTTTCGTTAACACAGCAAGGGGCCAAGATTATGGCTGCATCATTCACTACCCACAAAACGGTCTACCCGTCGATTTCAGCCTCCGCTCCAGAGTTATCTCAGAGTGGTCGCACGGTTTTGATTACCGGAGGCTCCAAGGGAATCGGATTTGCCATTGCCAGAGCCTTTGCCCAGGCGGGTGCGTTGAGAGTAATTGTGGTGGCCCGAAACTCGGGAGAGCTTCTCGCCGTCGAGAAGCGCATCAGAGAAGCTGTGTCGTTTCAGGGACAGGTTCTCCCCATCACCTGCAACCTCGATGATATCGGAGCAGTGCAATCTATGTGGGATGGCCTGCATGCTCAGCAGATCAATGTGGATGTTCTAGTGTTGAACGCGGCGACTTCGGGTACTGAGGGTCGCATGCTGCAAGAATCGGAGCAACGGTGGAAACAGACTTGGGGACTATTCGAGATGAATGTTAGAGCAAACCTGGTTTGTGCAGATCGGCTTATCAACCAGTCGATTGAAGGAAAACCCCCATCCCCGCGAGTGCGTATCCCTCTTGTCCAACCGGAGTCTAGGTGCATCCATTCTGATCAGGAAAACTAGGCCATTCTCAACGTCTCCAGTTGCTTTCTGCACGATAGCTCAGATACAGTTGGGCATGGAGCTTACGCAAGCACCAAGACCGCTCTGGCGTGTCTGTTGCAGCATTTGGCCGCAGAGATTCCGCGTGAGGAGGTCCAAATTCTCAGCTTTCACCCCGGATTCGTCTATACTGAGGGGCTACACGAGATCTGCGGACCGGATGATTATGATTGGGATAGCGGTAAGCGGCCTCCTATTATTCCCCCATCCTGCTTTGTTTCTCTAGAGAATTCTTGAACATCCGCTCATACAAGATCGGTAGATAAATTGCCGGGTAACTTCGCCGTCTGGGCCGCCTCTGCCCAGGCTAAGTTTCTCCATGGGCGGTTCGTCTGGGCCAGTTGGGATGTGAAGGAAGTAGCGGACTCGATGACGGATATTCTGGACCGTGATAGGGACTATTGGAAACTGGGAGTGAAGGGACTATGAGAGGTGGCTTTGGCCATAATTATTTTCCATTGGGGCTTGTAATTTGATAGCTATCGGTAGCTGTCAAATGAAGGTTTCAGCATCGGTCTGCCTTTCCGCGGTCGTCATGCTCCCCTTCTCGGTGTGCACATGTCAATATTTACAATATCCTTTGGTTTTCACAATTTGCTAGAAGTGTTAAACTAATGTAGAAAATAGTTCAAATTATAAAACTATTTCAAGACCGTTAGGATGAACAGCTTACTAAAGTACAAATTAAGGAAGTACCGACAACCAATCCAACATTGTCGATCGATTCTGGCCATTTTCAAAAGTCAAGAGGCCTTGGCTCGGCTTTGCGTACGGTAGCAGCTTTACTTATCGGGGACGTCTCCGGCGGGATAGACCAAACCAATATCTCTTTAAGTTCAAGTTTTATTCGCGGGCAAGGTCGGTAGTGAATGTGCAGGCCGAACAGCTGTAATGCTCTACTAACATGGATCTCATCCAAATATTAGACTATATCATAGTGTGATCTCTTAGGATCTTTATCATTTAATATTTTAGTGGTAAAAATACTCTTATTCTATAAAATATCTATCTCTATCTCTAGAGAAATGAAATAAAAATAAAATAGAGTATAATTATAATTAATAATTATATCTGTCCTCTAAAGTATAGGAATCTTTTCGTAGAGTGATCTTAAAATAATTAAAAATCGCTAAGGAAGTCGTTTTTACCATCGTATAGAAACAGATACAATGATAGTAGATCGTGTTTTTTGTCCTACTCTAGTAGCCACCGTTGATCTATCTTCGATTGATCTCTATCCTTATCAATATCATGATGATTCAATGCTATCATGAATGGTGATATAAACAACTTGAATGTGACAGTGTATATTCGCATAGCTGCCAGTGTCCTTCCAAGGAACTTTTCTTATCAGATTTCGACAAAGTTTCAGGTATAACGGCTCATTATATCAAGATATTTGACTTGATTTTTATCTAACGTTAGTCAAGCTTCAAATATACATTATACTACATAACTAGTACCTAGGCGCTAAATTGAGCGATTCAGCCCAACCGAAGCTTCCTAACGATTTATCTATATTTAAGTATCATATATCACGCCATAGGGGCTTTTAGAAGCCGTTGAATTTAATGTAGCCAGGTATATGTATGTGGTTCATTGAAAGTGTGCATGCTCCGGAAGGAGCCTGACGAATTGCAACGGGCGCGCCGAGTCATAATACTCAGTCGTGAAAGAGGGCATAGGCTATTGACCCTTCGTGAGAACAAATGTGTTTAAAATTATTGTGTGCGAACCGCTTGCCCAGTTCCACAGAAGCAAAGCTCAAATGTTGGAAACCTGAAGAGCGATCTCTACGAGACCTGTTTAAGTTTGAGGTCCTACTGATTGTTAAGTTTTGATCATTGGCTAAGATTGCACGGCGAGAGTTCTGTCCAACACTCGCTTACAAGCATTGGATGTAATTTCGTCCGTAATTGGGGCCGCTCATCTCTCCTGAGGTGGAGACCGAAGGGTTCCATTTGATAAAAACTCTGATTTAGACTTTGCTACAAGAAGCCTTTCATTTCTTTGTGAGCCTCCACTTTGCTCCAAAACGAGACCAACAGATCTGTACCTAAGAATACATTGATGGACAGCCTCCTGCCAGGAAAGAGGTCTGGGAAATACCTGAAGAAGTGGTTTTAGGTCTTGCGGCATGGTGATGAGATGGCCGCGGAAGCTCAAGCTCAGTCAAGGAAAGTTGTGCTGGCGTAGAGTTTTGTTGCTAAACTGCCCTTTCCAATCGAACCATATAGCCCACCTCCTTACAACCCTTCTGCTCATCATGGAAATAAAGACCATATTCATTGCAGGCGAATCGCCACCCAACAGGGACTCTGAAATTTTTCCATGTCTTGAGGTGATTGTTCCATAACATGAGGGCATCATCTGGATCTGTATCCGGGGATACATCGGAAAAATCTCCCACGTCAAACGTGATCGATTTCCTTGCGACCATAAACATGCGCATTAACACAGCGATGAAATCAGGCTCGGGTAGATAACCTAACGCGCCAAAACAGGCAACATGGTCAAACTCAATAGACTTCATGATTGTCGTCTGCAATGGCCCAACAGTAACCGGAGACACATAGTAGCTTAGGACTGCTGGAGACTGGGTCATCTCTGGTGAGAGGTCCACGCCCATGATACTAAACGGGGCGCCTTTCTCGTGGAGGAGTGTACCGAGCACACCCGTTCCGCATCCTAGATCAAGGACCGTACCGGTCCAATCAAAGTCCAGAGTCAACTTTTGCATGAATCGGAAATAGGGCGTAGGTGTCATTGATTCGTCATACTGCGGCTGGAAGGTTGCATAGCTGTCGATGACCTTTTGCTGGATACCTGATGCTTTGTCCTCTGTCATCATCACTGCTATCATAAGATCAAGCAATGCGGTGTGGCCCCCGGGCACTGTACTCTGGACTAATTTATCATCGATAGTCCGGCTAATTGGAGAGAAAAGATCAAGACTATAGGTTGCATCCAAGAACTCAACCCTTTCAGTCTCACAGTCAACCCAGAGATCCACACGAACCAGGGCGCCTCTGTATTTGGGCATTTCGTCAAGGACAGCCAAACGGGCAGTCTCCATGAGATCCTTCCGCAATTGTGTCCGCACGACTATGGATTCGATACCACCGTTGATCCTCTTGGCAGGTTCAAACACCATCGCTTCAGAGCCAACAACAAGGGCTAGCACAGAATACCCTGCCGCCCTCGATGAATGCAATTTTTGAAAGTTGTGCTTCTGTGTCGTATATCCTTGAGTGTGTCTTGACTGCGTCAGTAGGAACGGTACTCCTAAGACCTTCTCGCCTCCTGAGATAAGAAAATTGATAACCGCCAGTCTAACGCTCCAGTCCGCAGGCACAGCCTAGAGAGACATTAAATTTCGTCAGATTTATCGCGAGGCGTTTAGGGAGCACTAACCGTTGCAACAATAAATATATCGTAATCATCCTTCATGATTTGGGTAATGTCGTCCTGCATTGCTTTTATGTCGAACTTCCGCCTGTCTACGCGGTATCTTCCGCTGTCCACATAACACTCCGGGTCATTCAAACCTGCATTCTGCTTTGCCACGAAAAAAAGTTAGTGAATCCCTAGACTTAACTGGGTGGGAAACAAACTAATCCTGTAGTGCCCAGAGCAGGCACTTCTAAAATTGCAAGCTTCATTGGAAAAGGTAACTCAACAGCTAACGTATAATGAGGTGACGAGATACGAGTATTCCTTTGCACCCAATACTAGTAGTTATATAAGTGACCGTACATGATAGATCACAAAATCATCAACTAGATTTTCCCTTATCTCTCCTTTAACTGCTTCCACCCTTTGGATGCAATCGGTCCGTGGTGTCCTTTTAGACCTTGCCTGAAAGTTGCACAAGCGGCAAGACCGACTTAGTTGTGTGGCCCGCGCCGCATGATACGTATGTTTATAGTACCCACATAAGTGGGTTTCCTCTTCCGCACATGTGGGTCAACAATAAGCCGCCACTTTCAATAATACGTACGTACTATCCATTGTACCATGCACGCTACAAATTCATTGCCAGTACCATACGTATAACCGCGGGGCGATATTTCCACTTAAAATAAGCAAAAGATCAATGAGGGAACTGGTAATAGGCTGATATCCATGTCATGTGTATGTCTATGTATTGGTGGCTGTCGCCACAGTGGAACTCCCCCAAGCGTACATATGTGCATGAACATGTAAATACATACATGCTGTACAGAACAGGTATTTAGATACGTGTTTGGACTAGTAATGCTAGAGAGTTACTTTTTGGCATAAACCTATGGGCCCACCTGATGGACATCCCGGATTTCTTGCTAAAGGAAATGATACATATACTATAGGCGGGCCGCAGGGCGGCTCAGAGGACGGATCGGATGAGATATTCTCGATCTAGGATTTCCCCATTAAATGCGTACATCTAAATTTTATCTGACCCTTTTATACAAAGATCGAGCAGATACACAATATGGTAGATTCCTATCGTGGCCGCTCTATTTCACTTTTGAGTGTGTATCTTATCCGAACCTTCAAATCTTGGAACGGCTCTATATACTATAAGTCAAAACTAAGTATTGATTATAACTTGACACTTAAATACTACTAGTATTGATCAGTATATATAACATATACGGTATAACACTATTTCTACTTTAATCTACTTTAATGATTATTTGTATTTATATATCCTGTATATAAAATTTATACCTGAAAATACTATACATTCATTACGTTACTAATTGAATAACTTTTCATTTTTGACCTCTCTTTTGGGGCAAGTGTTTACCTATTTCACTCAAAAATTTCTAGTGTCCGAGGCCGATCTGCAGAGTACATTCAGCTCCTCGACCCATCTCCACTTTGGATCCATCGGCACTACATACTAGTACGTACATTGTAGCCTGAATCCTTCAAGGTGGGGAAGTCATGTATGTACTTCCAGCATATGATGTAATAAATAGACCAAGCACAAGATACTGAATACAACCTTGTTACATGCCAAATCTCTCATGTTGGGATGTATAGCCGAGGAAATGCCATCTGCTGTAGAAAGCACCCACTGCATGCCGGAAGGGGTGAGGTAATGGTAACAGAAGTACTATGTATATTTAATTCAACTTTCACCAGTAATCATCTCTCTTACCATCTACCCACCCCTGATTCTACGTGTTTAGCAATTTTTTACCACACCATGCAGTCACAGCAAGCTCGTCAGTTTTACCTGATCACTGCTCCGAGAACAGGATCTCACCTTCTTCTTAAGATCCTGGCACTGGAAGATCAACCCAATGTCTTATTTCGTGAGACTGGAGGGTACTTCTTTCTGCCACTAATAGTCCTAAGGGAAGAGCTGCAAACCTCTTGGAAACATCTCGACAGCCTGACCGCGGAGCAAAAGACCAAGGAACAGGAGTGTATGGAGAGTTGTCTCCGTGATTTTGAACTGCATGCCGAGAGAGCAAATATAGAAGGAAAACTTGTCATTGTGAAAGAGCATTCTTATTTCCTGACGGACCCGGTTGCACAGTCACGATTTCTATTTGGCGAAGAAAGTTTCAATGTAGAGACACCTCTAAAGTTGCAAACTTCAAATAGTTCCATCCCGGAAACATCTCACTCGGTCCACAACGAAACATTTCTGTCAGACGAAATCCTGAAAGCATGGCATCCGATATTTCTCATTAAACACCCGGCGTTGGCCTTTCCTTCGTATTATAGGGCCTTTTTGAAGGGCTACGGAGAGGAATTTACGAAGTCGATTGCAGGACAGAGGGAGTTCCAGATGGTCATGACAATGCGATGGACACGCAAGTTGTATGACTTTTACAGCGAATGTAAGGCACCCCCTGTATTCGCAAAGAATCAGGCCACATGGCCTATTGTCCTGGATGCAGATGACATCCTCTGCAATCCATCCGTCGTCACCAAACTCTGCGATATTGTTGGGATCGACAGTGATAGACTGCGCTACACTTGGGACATGAATCAGATTCAACAGGATCTCTCGGTAGAAGCATTCACAACGACACTCAATAATTCTACCACCATCGATACGACGAAGGTTGCGGGGGATATTGATCTCAGTGACGAAGCAAAAAAATGGAGGGCTGAATTTGGAGATGCAGAGGGAGAAATGATAGAGGGGCACACCCGTGCTGCCATTCCCGACTATCTATTCTTGAGGTCCCAGAGACTGAGGGCATGAGTTCATGCTGGCTGTTAGGGAAGGGCATAGAAACTTTTTCATCTTCTCAGAAGAAGGAAATTTGTCAATTATTTTGAAAACTTGGTGGATGTTCGGCATGCGTACTAGCACATCTGCGAGCATGAATGTGCAAATTAAGGAGTTAATGGGAAAAAAATACCTCGGTGAAAAAGGCTCGTCACATAATACAGGCTCCATATTTCACTGACTTGATGGATGCACTGTCCGATCCACTGGATAGGGTTTAGCGGGATCCCATGGACTAGATCCCCGAAATCGTCCTGAATCTCGATCCAGGGAGCTGTCATCATGGCCCCAATGTGGCAGATGAAGGCTGTAGAAGTCAGGCCTCATAGGAGCTCTGAACTTTCTAGTGCGGATTCTGAACATCTAGTAACCAATTTCTAGAATATAAAGCAACATACTTACGTTGGTGACTCCATGTACTAGCGTATACAATAGTTTGGTTTCTTCGGACTGTGGGGCCGCAGATTTCATATGCATGCGATGAACTGAAGTTAATATTACTAATGTAGACTCTACATAGTACAAGCTGTAGTACATACATGAAGTTATTGTATCTAGTATATCAAGATCTCTTCAGATAGTTCAGATATTTTCGCATCAGTGAAGAATCGAGGGGAGGGAACTCCAAGCCGCCAGGGTAGTCTGCCATAGCCTTTCTTGTGTTATTGGTTTGATAAAGGGGCATGTTCTCATAAAGTTCCCACCGAGTAAGTCCATCTTGCACATGTTCGGCAAGCATAGGTACCAGTGGCTGTAATCTCTCCGGTGTGTTTGCAGAGAGACGTGCGATCCAGGCTGAATATGACATGCCTTTGATGGGAGAGCCAGAAACCTCCCCGATAAGCTCCATAGTGGAGTCCATATCAACAGAAGCATGTCTGCTAGGGGGTACGATGTGGAAGGCACGACCAAGAGAATCACTAGATGCAGCGATATGTAGGATAGTAGAGTTCACATAGTCAACCGGAACAAACTCCTTGCGCTGGTTCGGTAACCTTGGATAGCAACCCATCTCCAGGGAAGCTAGTATAAGACGACTGAAGAAGTCGTCTGGGTTACATGCGCCAGTCTCGCTATGTCCAGTAATAAATCCGGGACGATAAATCACGATTGGAAACCCGCGGTCCATCAGTCGACGTAGAAGCTGCTCTGCAACCCATTGACTCTGCGCATATCCATGATCGTACGGCAGAGCAGGAAGATGCGTCATGAGACTTTCGTCCTCTTCCACTGATGTAGCACCAGTTATAAATCCCGTGGGCCCGAAACAAGAGATGCTAGAAACGTAATGGACCGCCTTGGATCTTCCCGCACAAGCAAAGCGCACAACGTTAACGGTACCAAGAGTGTTTGCCGGGCGATGAAGGGAGTAAGGCTGGGTGTAGTTAACCCTTGCACCTAGATGAAAAACGACACTTGCCCAAGCTGCAAGCTGCTTAAAGCGTATTTGTCCTAGACCAAGATATTTATCCTCTAACAAGCCAGGGAATGCCAGCAATTTGTACTCAAAGCCATCATCCCAGAGATTGTATTTGATCAAAGCAGCACGCAGCCGATTTTTACCAATCGCGGCATTTTCGGCGCGAACTAGGCAGCCAACTTGGTGGATGTTCGGCATGCGTAGCAGATCTGCGAGCATGAATGCACCCACAAAGCCCGTAGCCCCAGTAAAGAAGATCCGGCCCTCAGTTTCATCAAGCCAATTCACTGAGCTACCGGGAGTGGGTAAATCATCAGCAAGCATTGTATCACCCACCCAGATATCACTCTCGTTGCGGATGGTCTCAAAAATGCCCCCCTGGCGCTGATCAATGAGGTTAGCTAGGGCTTCAAAGGTCGAATTGTCGTAAAGACTCAGAAGAGATATCTCAGATGAGAAGGCCTTTCGCATTTGGCCAATCAAAAGTGATGCTTGAAGGGAAGTGCCGCCTAGCTGGAAGAAGTCATCGTCATTCCGATAGGATGCCACGGGATTAGCTAAGATATTTGCCCAAAGACCCGCCAAGGTTGACCGAGTATCCTTGCACAGTGAATGAGAAATGACATGCAACTGGTGTTGGGATTTCCATCGCTCGCAAAACTTGTCCTCCAAGGCTTTTCTATCCACTTTGACATGACTGTTGAGAGGTAGTGTAGAAACTAGCTCCAACTGTGGAATCATATAGTCTGGAAGAGTTGTTGCTCGTAGTGAGTCCAATGCCTCAGTGATATCCGGAGGGGATTCTGGATCAGCGGGAGTCACGTATGCAACCAGAATGGACCCAGCGCCCTCCTGTGGGATTTTGATCTTAAGGGCCACGGCTTCCGAAAACTGGCCGGTTTGTAGCAAAGCATTCTCAATAGCCCCAAGCTCGATACGAAACCCTCGAACCTTTACCTGATGATCACGACGACCAATGTAGTGAATTTGGCCATCAGAGTGACGGCGCACAATATCACCGGTACGATAGAATCGAGTTGGCTGACCAGATGCATCGAGAATAGTATCGATAATAACAAATGAGGCCGCGTTCTTCTCGGATTGGTTAACATAGCCAGAAGAGACACCAGCACCCCCAACCCACAACTCGCCTTCATCGCACATCATGCCTGACTCATCTGCAATATACGCGATAGTCTGCCCAATAGGCATACCGATGCTCACAGAGCCATTTTCCACATCCTCTTTAGTGACACGATGAGCCAAACAAAAAATGCAGCATTCTGTCGGGCCGTACGCGTTAATCAGCGTCTTTGGGGGACCTTCACTAAAAATGGTCTTGATTGCAGCCACATTAGCTGCTTCGCCTCCGATGAAGCAAAGTCGCAACCCAGAAAATGCACGAGGGTATGTGGATGCAGCTAGGTTGAGAAGCGCAGTAGTGGTGGCCATAACGGTAATCCCAAGCATATCGATATGCTTGGCCATAAGAGGCAAGTCCAGCAAAACAGGTTTGCTCAGCACCGCAATAGAGGCTCCTCGAAGTAATGGAGCCCAAACGTCAAACAAGGCAACATCAAAACTGCTATTATTGACGTGGGCGACAACGTCATCCTCGTGCACGGGCTCAAATGGAGCGTGGAAAACGACCTGAAGAATAGACTTCGCGTTAATCTGAACAGCCTTGGGCTCGCTGGTTGTGCCTGATGTGTGGATGATATGGGTGCGATGAGAGAGTTCAGTCACAATAGGAGATTGTTCACTTTCGGAGGATTCAAGTGCGGCCGTAGAGGGAAAGTCATCAATACAGATTTGAGGCTCTGGTAGGTCCCGGGTCTTGTTTGCGTGATCCACGATGATGGATCTTGAATGGAGTTTGTCCAGTCGACTGCGAATCTGCTTGTCTGGGAGGTTTGGATCCAAGGGCACACAAGTGCCTCCAGCATATATAATGGCCATCTGAGCGACGACATCGGCAAATCCATGCTGAACAACAATACCAATAGTCTCTTCGGTATTCATTGTACCAAGTTGTCGCAGCTTTTGGGCGATTTGGCAGGCTTTGACATGTAGCTCGTTGTATGTGAAGGAGACCTGGCCATCAAAAACAGCGAGGGATGTGGAATTTCGGTGGACTTGATCGTAGAAGAGTTGACCAAGTCCTCGATTGCTCTCACACACGACCTCATATTCCGTCAAATCAATTTCATTTGAAGGCATGTTGTTATGTGTCATGGGCAAAATCGGAAGCGGATGATAAGGAATATGCAAAGAAATCTTTTCTGAAATTCTGCAAAGCAAATTCTAGCATCGAGCTTTGAAACCATAAGGAATTACCTTGGGATATAAGTACTATGCAAGCTCTGCCCTATACTTTGAGCCCGTCTTGACATCTGTACTACGGTATTCGTTTACCTCTCCGCTCTAGCTCCACATCCATAGTGCGTATTTATTTCATAGTAACTTGAATATGACCAAAAATATACCTTTTTTGTTCTTTCAAAGTTACAAAGGGTTTAGCTAATGAAAATACCTACCGAAACGGTGGGGTGGTAGCCAGCTCACCGACATAGACGGGCTAATCCGGATTTCCAAAATGCTTCTTGAAATTATCTTCTTAGGTTGATGATTCAAATGTTCTTGTGGGTAGAAATATACCGAATAAAAAATTCTAGGTGTCTATAATATGCAGCCCAGCCACTTCAGTTACCAATCACTGGTCAGATGCGTAAATTGTATTTTCTTCCAAGTTTTGGTTTCCAGCATTTTAAGCAGAGGTGATACATAGTGCATATGACATACTACACATTTTCTTCATGTAATTCCATATCTACTAGCGGTAACTTAGAACAATAATTGAACAAGTTAGTATACAAGTATCATACATGTACAAGATATCTGGATGTAGTAAACTACATACGGAGTAATAACATTCAAATGGGTAAAAACAAACTTTAAGGTTCATAGTGGATCCCACATACGTATCTAAGTGATTTAATGTTGTTGGGAAGTGTGGCTAGCTGAGCGATGATCGTAAATGTCGATCTTGAGGGAAGATACGCCGTACATACATTTCCTTGCGTCCAGTGGTATTATCCTATCACAACCTAAGTGGGACCCATAGTCCGTCCGCTATCGTCTGAAGATCAATTGAGGAGTTGGATGAGGCTGCATGTGTAGATCTACCATTGTATCGGATTTGCCTTAAAAATATGGTATAAAAATTTTTGAAAGCTAAGAAAAGTCGAATATGTTCCAGATTACAAGGTAATGAAGCTCTACTGGTCGTGAAGCTAAATAGGCACGGAATTTTAATGAATTAATTGAATGATCTCCAACATAAACTTAGCAGGAAACCCTCTCCTGTCCCTCCCCATACAAAATTGCATGGGGAAAGGATCGTTAAAATGGTCCCGAAGACTTTTATGATCCCAGTGACTCTTACCCTTTTGAGCTGATGAGGCAGGGGAACCTTGGAAACTGCATGTTAATGAGCAAGTTGCATATAGACGACAACGATCTGTAGACCGTCACTTCGAATGTTCCGGTGCATGTTTACTTCTGTACAAGCCGGGCCATACTAAACCGGATTTCCTTACTATCACTGCAGTGGCAAGTATGCAGTACATATATCACATATTATATGTATGTGTCAACTCTGGTGATATCCGTATTGGCTCGTACTAGTCATGGCCTATCGAGGGTCCCAATGGTTGATTGATTGTCTAAAAAGAGTGTCTGTCCCACGACCCTGTTGAATAGGTGATCGTGGTGACTATGTGATCTATCAGATCTACACTGCATGTTACGATACAGTTCTTTCCGATATGGCCCGATTTACCATACAAACACTATGGCAATGTGGACAGGGGCTGAAAGCACACTAACACTGAGATAGTGGTAAATTACCCCATCTCAGGTTGACAGTATGTACTAGTAGTGGGTCTGCCGAGCAACATGCAACATCATGATCATTAGTATTCCTTTTTATATAACAGTACTCAAGTGCTATAAACGTAGTGGAGAGACATTGATGTATCCATAGATATATCCATGGATGTACTCGCATACACATGCGTGCTAGTGGTATCAATTGATTCAAAATGTTCGGAGTGGTGTGGGTAACGTCCAACTTAAAGCGACGGATATTAGATTAATATTGATATCAATTAATTTAGTCGGTATAAGTCACCACATTACTATGTAGTATTAAGGCCGCGATGCTTCTTAGTAGATGTGATGTGCTCAATATCAACGGTTTGTATGGAAGAAGATAGTAAGATTTAACGAAAATATCATACTTGGGGGAAGGAAAGAACAGGAATGAGGGACTTAAACTATTTATGTATAGGTGGACACGTCCTGATTAGTTAGGACGTGATACGGACGAATGAGTCATTCATCTAAGTATATAATAGGATGAATAGTATATGACCAGATGAATAGCCTTACTAGTAGGGTTCGTGTATTATAGGGTTGTCACAGTAGACACCATGTATATTGAGTGTGATTTGACCCGGACTTGGAAAAGGCAAGGAAAGAATATCACTAAGGGTGCTCTTACTGAATATAAATCTTGATCTAAATGATGAAAAAGATACTGAAGAAATAAAAAAAGTTTTAATCTTCCGTTATTGTAGTGGATCTGTCATGACTCGCACTCCTATGGCATCTTCACGACACAAAGTGGATCTTAAAAAATTCTTCGACGGGCATCAATCCAGCCCGAGATCCAACTTTTCCTTGTGCCTCAGCTGCGGCTTTCTTCAGCTCGTTTGCTGTGTCCGTTTCAGTAGGGACATCTCCGAAGTACCGTCCTCCGGTGGATTGAGTGAACGCAAACAGAAGCCTATGATCGTCCATTTCGGGGATCCCACGGCCAAAGTCCTCCCAGCTGGATAATGGCACATATCGAGACTTCTTGCCGGTCACTAAAATCATTCAATTAGAAGTGTTTTGTTGTTTTTTTTCATATGTTACTACGTACCCTTCTGAAAGACATTTGTAAGTTGTTCAAAAGTCATCACGTCGCTGACGGCTGGGATGGACTTTCCATTCCACTTCCCTGGGTCAAGCAGGATACCGTGAACAAGGTCTCCAAAGTCATTCCCAATACTCAAGAAAGACGGATTCTCGTCGCTGCCCCATACCGGAACACGTAGGGTCAAATAACCTTCGTCGTCTGGGATACTTGGGAATCCTCCCCCTACTTCAGCAGTGGGCAAATCAAGGAATTGCTCGTAGTACCAAGCAGCATAAATGCCACAATGGAATTCGAAATGGCCACAGGACTTCGCGTACTCTAACGCTTGATATTTCACTTTTTTGCACAATTAGATTCTCTTTTCTAGTGACACGATAGGTTATGAAAAGAAATGCTTACTCTCTTGTGGCTTAATGAACAGCTTCCCATTGGTCTGCTTCATGGACGAAGAGAAAGAGCTGTAGACCAGATTTTTGACATTTGCGGCAATCAAGCTGTCCACAATATTTTTACCTAGATCAAATTCTGTCGGTCCGTTTCCGGGCGCGAGAAATTGCTATGATTTACCAAATAAGATACACGAAAACAGTATCGATGAATGATGGAGATTCTCACCGGATCATCAGAGTTTGTGTTGACAAAAGCGGCCCAGCTTCCAGTAAAGGCTTTAGTGAGCTCATCCTGATTCCAGCCATCGGCGTGGATGATCTCGGCACCTTCAATGACGAGTTGCTTGCTAGATTTGGAGTCGGGATGGCGACTGATGGCACGAACTCGAAAGCGACCTGCCTTGTCGGCCAGGAGCGCCCGTGCAACGGCACCTGCTTGATTTCCAGTGCCAAAGACAGTTACTATTTGAGGGCTCACAGTCATCTTGAATTTTGAAATCGAGCTGGCGGGTTTGCTGAAAATTTGGGATTGAAATGATGAATGTGTAGGTTATTGTGGCTTGCGCATGACTTATAAATCAGATCTGACCAGTGCACCGAAAAAGAAAGGAAAAGAAAAGAATTGTCTGATTACCTGATCTATCCAGTATTACCACACATCTTCCAGCTTTTCATATATAATTCTGCGGTATAAACATCAAGGTGTCCAATTTTCGCGTATTTACACATGTGCATGCAGGTGGGTCACAAAATCAAATACATGGGCTATACAGCCTTGTATTACTACTAGTATTCACATACTCCACCCGTCCCCACCCACTGCGACTTAGGAGCTAAACTACAATAGGAAAAAGTTGGTGCCTGGGTGCCTTCAATGTCGCACTGAGCTCTTTTCAATGTCTGGCTGACCTGCATCCTGGGCTTTCTGCCAACTTACACTTAGCTTCCAAGTTTGCTATTAAAGCTCAAACCTTTCCAGCCCAAGTCAAATTTGACTACCAAACGTGGATCTCTGAAAACACTTCCAAGTATTGGTACATGTCATATTAATTTCGAAACAAGACTCGATAACCCGAAGTTTATCTTGATACTATTTATACCACGAAGGTAAAATGGCTATTGAGCAAAAGGTTGTCACTGTCTTCGGAGCGACTGGACTGCAAGGCAATTCTGTTGTCCGTGCACTACTAAGAGATCAAGTTTCCAACTTTCGAGTTCGAGCGATAACCCGAGATCCTGGATCTGAGAAGAGCCAAACGCTGCAGAAGCTCGGTGTCGAAGTCATCAAAGGAGATGGATGGAGCAAGGATGATATGTGCAAAGCATTCTCTGGTTCGTGGGGGGCGTTCGTGAATACCAACTCTGACGATCCAGTAAATGGCGACTTACTATCTTATATTGTTGATTGTTCCTTGTGAATATGCTAATTTTCATTCCAGATATTTAGCAACCCGAACGTGCCTACTGAATTCGATCTCGGGAAGACCATTGTTGATGGCATGGTTGCCGCAGGAGTCAAGAGCCTCGTCATCAGTTCAATGAGACCAGCCGGGGAGGCAACCGCAGGGAAGATGAAAATCAAAACGATGGACAGTAAGTAAATCCATCCTCGATAATACAATAGCAGGAGTTGACAAAGCGATATATGAAACAGTGAAAGCTGCTATTGCTGAATATGCCCAAAAGACGGATCATTTTGAAACAATTTCTTTCATCCACGCAGGCTGGTATTTTGAGTTATTTCTGTCAGAGATAATGGCTAAGGTCCACCAAGGATTCCCATACTTTCCTGATGCAGATGGGTATCTAAATCTCGTTATGCCAAAGTGGGGAAATGACAGCGGTGCGCCCTTCATCGCGATTGAGGATGATTTTGGCGACCTTGTCCATGGAATCATGCTTGATCCAATGCGCTGGAATGGGAAGATAATTCAGGCAGTAAGCGATATTCAATCTCTTCCTCGGTTTGTCCAAATATTCTCCGAATGTAAGTGACTTCGGTTTTATTAAGAAACCCGAAACAGTTCAGCAGGCGTGCTGACAACTTATTTCGACCTAGACACTGGCAAGAAGGCACGATATGTCCCACTTCCATCCTGGAAGAATCTCGGCGAAGGTATTCCTGAAATGGAGGATGGTAGGTTGCTCTTCGCCTTTGGCGAGGCGACCAACGGCCGGTACTTCGGAGAGGACTCCTGCACGGATATACCCATGGAATTGAAAAAGCTGGCATTTGCAGCACAAGGAAAAGCTACATCCGGCGCAAAATTGGCATCCCTAGGCCCATGGTTTTCTAAAAACTTTGGAACACAGTAGAATTGAGACGATTTGCTGTAATCCCTGTTAAGACAGTCAATATCACTCACCCATGCAAACGTATTTCGAATACATTAGTCTTTCTTTACGTAGTTTCGAATGTGCGTTTGCTTACATGGCTAAGAAACTCAATGTTTCCACTGTGTCATTTCTTTCAAGTCCCGGCTCAACATTCAAGCAGTACGCCCCAACCTTTCTCAGTGGTCATATAAGTGGGTCAGGTATTTTGCTAATCTGAAGATTCGCAAGACGGGACGGGACGCCACGGCCCTTGTGGAGGCCCACTAAGCACCGAGCCGTGTCAGCTGGCCTTCCCAGAGTCCCAGTCCTTTATTCAAATGTTCCTTACATATAGCTTGAGTAAATACATGCGTCTATACTCCGTAGATTCGAACCAATGGGACCTTGACGAATGAGAAGATTGGTCATTCGCACGCTGCCGAACTTTTCCGCTGTGCGGGAAAGATGTGTCCGTATTTTACACGTATTTTACGATCAACTCCTTGTACACTTAGACATAAACAGTGTTTTCCTTTACTTACGATCTTGAGCGGGGCAAATGCAGATATACCGATGCATCTCGCGATCAGGGCAGTGTAACCCGATCCATAGCTTCACCGCCAGTCTTCACGTGAAAAAGCGATATCGCGATTTCAAGGGGGCTTTTTCAGTTGACTCGATTGGACAAACCCCTTTCGCCCCTTGTATCCACAATGCAGATTTTATGTAACCACAATACGATTGATAAGCTGGGCGAGTATACACTACCTTCGGGAACACTTGGTACTGATCATGACATAGTATACAAATCCCTCTCAATATTACAACCAATAGCGAAAACAGCCACTACCCTTCTGATTACTTTTCTTTTCCTGGTCTCCACTGCCAAGGCGTTAGCGCCGATCTCTTCTTGACTGGACCCGCCCCATGTTGAGGACCACCGTAGACTACTTTTTTGTAATACTACGTCAATCAACATTTCATCGTCTGATATTCAGCTGTGAAACTAATATTACGGGGGGAGTATACGTTATCATACACTGTGCATCCTTCGACAGCCCTCAGATTACTTTCGGTCAATCAATTGAAGATCCGCGCTAACGCCTTGGTAGTGGGGCCCGAGAAAAGAAAACAGGAGAAGCAGATTTGGTTACACAGCATATACAGATGGACATGTACAGTACTCCGTAGACAGTAGATTAGTGGTGTTTGCCCTTTCAGCTCAGCCGCCGGGCGTTACATAATGAATTGTTTGTATGTTTGTTTGTACCGTACATACTACGCATCTGCATTAAATTACCAGGACTCGGTCACTAATACTTAATCCAAGATTCGAAAGCGGAGAGACAAATGACATATTCAAGTTGGAGCAGAAATCAACACGGAAAAGCGCAAGAGCGAAAACGCCAGCAACTCAGACCATTAAGCCCCGAACTGATACCGAGGTAAATTCCTGTCTGGCCATCTCCAAGGGCATATATACTGAGGATTCCATATGCATATACTAGTATTCGACATCATGATGGTTCCGACTCAATTATTTGGAAGTATACTAGTCTCAGTAAGGTCACTTGAGTTTCCCAAATGCCAGTGGGAAGCAGACACTATTTGAACACTGCTAATGCAGATTTCTGTTCAGTGGGTGTTGTTTCATTTATCACGCGCTTTGTATAATATCTTCTTCCACCCCCTTCGACACTACCCCGGTCCCAAACTACTTGCCGCGTCCCAACTTCTGAATGTCTATCACATAGTCAAAGGAGATGGCTCCAAGTACACAGCTGAACTTCATGAAGCCTACGGAGATGTTGTCCGTGTCGGTCCAAACGAATTGTCATTCATTTCCCCATCTGCGAATAAAACAATATACGGCGGAAGACCTCAAGAGGGAGAGGTTTTTGAGAAAAACCCAATTGCAAACTTGCAAGGCACGCGCGAGATTCAGAATATCTTTTTCGCTCCATCTAAGCCCCATGCACGATACAAGAAACTGATGGCACCTGCATTTTCGGAAATGGCCATTAGGGAGCAAGAGACCATGCTTCAACACTATACAACCCGTTTAATTCAAGCCCTTCGGGGAGAACGTGCCAATGCGGCGGGGGAAGCATCGAAAGAAAATGAAATTAGCGGGTACAAGGGGAGGCAGATGTACCCCGATCAGCAACAGATTGTAGATCTTTCCGCTTGGTACAATTTTATCATCTTCGATGTCTTGAGCAGCTTGGCTTTCGGGCAGTCTGTCGGCTGTCTTGATCAAGGCTGCTGGCATCCTTGGGTCTCATCCATTTTCAACGCTATTATTAACGCCACGTTCCTCGAGGCTGCTCATCGTTTATGGCCTTATCATCTCGTCTTCGACTGGCTAATCACTCCTCGTGAGCTGAAAGATGACTACGCATCCCACCTCCACTATACTCAGGGGGCACTGAAGAATCGAAACCAGGAAGACAGTGCTCGCAAGGCAAATTTCTCTTCGTTCATTCAGAAAGGCATGACAGAGGAAGAACTGTTCGATAATGCGAATATTGTGGTGACAGCTGGTGGAGAGACCACGGCAGCAACTTTGTCAGCTACAACCTACTATCTCATGCATAACCGCCCCAGCTATGAAAAGCTTGTCAAGGAAATTCGAGAAAGATTCCAATGTGAGGGCGATATCAAGCTGTCCGCTCTAGGGGATCTCAAATACCTACGGGCGGTGATAAAGGAATCCCTTCGAATTCACCCGGCGATTGCAATTGGTCTGCACAGACTGACTCCAGCAAAGGGGAAATTTATTGATGAACACTGGGTTCCTGGTGGTGTATGTTTTAATACCCTGTTCACAGTTTCTGAACATTGATAATCTGATTGATCTCTAGACGTGGGTAGCAGTGGCAAACTTGGCTGCATGCCGCAACACTCGGTACTGGAAGAATCCGGACAAATTTGTCCCGGAGAGGTGGCTTGGTGACCCTGAATACGCGTCTGATAACCTGGATGCTGCATCACCCTTTTCTATAGGGACAAGAGCATGTATAGGTATCAAGTATGTATTCTTCCCTACATCTTGGGAGCCACATCTGTACTAATAACTTGAAAAATAGCCTTGCGAACGCAAACATGCGTCTCATTCTCGCCCGTCTGCTGTGGAATTTTGACCTGGAAGGCCAGTCAGACAACGTCGACCCACAACTTTTTAAAGAGCATGGGATCTGGAAAGGTACCCCGTTGAAAACGAAGCTGGTTGACATACGACCTAAGAGTTCATTATGAATGAGGCAGGTGACCGAAACTATGAACAGGACAAAATTTGAATCTTTCTCAGCAAGCACACTACCCCGGAAAAAAAGATTGAAGTCCGAAGAAGGCAATATTTATCGGGAAATAAGAACAAAACTTCTCGTCCCATAAGATGATGAAATGCAAATATGGCTGTAGGGTGGAAATTGAACAAAAGAAATGGATAGCAATTCAATGGCGTAGTCTTTAAGATACAATAATCACTTAGTCTCGCCAGCCTTGAGTTCAGTCGGAAGGCCCAAAGCCGTCCGAGGGTCGTTCAAGTCCACCCATCCCAGGAATGGCTCAGATGGTGCAAATCCTAGTCTGCGACAAGCTTCGACTGAAAGTCCCTGGAGCTTCTCTTTCGGTACTGTCAAGTACTGATTTTCCTCCTATGATGGACGTCAGTCGGAGGGCAGACGTATTAAGAGGTCAAGTCTCACCTGTCGCAAAAAGCCTTTCGTCATAAAGGCAGAGAATATCATCCTTTGCTCTGACATGGTGGTATTGGCGGACCCTCCGTGGTAACATGACGCGAGCATGAAAAAAACATCGCCTGGATTCAGCTCCACGGGAACAGTCAAACTCTCATCAGGCGCATTCTCAGGCCCCCACAGGTGCGAGCCGGGGATGAAACGAGTTGCTCCATTTTCCTTGCTGGTGTGAGTGGCAGCGACGAAAATGCCCACCCCCGTGTCTCGGCCAATAGCATATTCCTCGGGTGCAATCCTAGGCAAATGATTGTGATGGCCCATGTCATCTCGATGGAGCTTTTGTGCCTCGCCCCCTGGTTGGTTACGGATTGAAACAGCGGCATTAAGCTGTGGCTGGGCATCGAATGTAACCTGTTCACTCCCGTACCAGCTGGTAAATCGAGATGTGAGAAGATAGTCACAAATGGAACCGTAGAGAGGATCGCAGATGATGTTCTCTACGAATGATGGAGATTTGGCTGCGAGGCCGGAAACCACCTGTGACTGTTTGGCAAAGATCTCACCCCTCTCACCGAGATGATCACCAAAATGAGGTTTGACCTCTTCTATGACCGCACCGAGTATTTCGGGAGACATGAAGTTGCGGATGACGACACCACCATTGTGTTTTAGGATAGGAATGATAGTGTCCAGAGTTGCAGATTCCCTTTCCAGCACACGAAGCTCAAATTTAGGTGTCATGGTTGAACAGCATGTATCGATATGTATAAATATTGGTAGGGCAAAATGTAGTCGCTTAACTGAACTTCTACTATAGATGTACTTCCCATTTACGGTGCCAAGAAGGCATATGGATTACAAGTGGCAGTGCGGAATTCACTCACTTCACACATGTGGGCATTGTCGTCACTGATTCTCAATTGCTTTTACGTAAAAGCCATTATCACTCTTGGTAACACAGCGCAATATGTATATAATACGAATTGATCCATTTTTCCGCAGATTATCGAAACTTTTAGAAAGTTCAATACCGAAGTTTGTTGTTGTTGTTGTTTATATGTTTTTTTTTTTTTTTTCGGGGATCTGGCATGCATGCTGTACAGTACACCTAGGCATAGCCCCACATAGATATAGTACAAGTGGACCCCTGTCCCACTGCATCGTTGTAATTCCAAGGTTTGCATACATTACATACAGATCTCAGCTCCTCGATCGATGGATCGATTGATCGCCACATTATTACCAGAAATCATTGATTCTCCCCACTCTGGCCTCTCGTACATATGTACATGAAGAGATATAGCCTCACCCAGGCCGTGCATGAGAAATGAATCAAAAGCGAGTGTGTAGGTCGCTGCGACAATAGATTGGACCCACTGCGACATTGTATGATTGGTTGGAGTGGGGCAAGTGGGGCATTATCGCAGTGAGCTCCTCATTTATTACAGTAATTTTAGCCGGGCTACAAACATGCGGTGAAGCGGCGAACGGCAGTACTTGGGTTCACAATGGCTCATGGTTGATCCGCCCCCGACCCACTTCGCGCGTCCACTCGCCATTGTCTGGGCCGCCCCAGGTATAAGTTAGAGTCCTTTGAATCCGCATCAACACACCCAGTCGCAAGGAAGAGCTTCACTACCAATTCGTGGCCATGCCAGGCAGCAACATACAGCGGCGTCCAACCGTTCGGGTCGTCCTTAGAATGCAAATCAACGAGTTCAGTTTCGAGTAAAAGTTTCACAACCGCCTCACGACCTTCCCACGCTGCCCGGAATAGCGGTGTCTCGTATCCGACTTTGGAATTAACATCGACACGACGAGTCTCAAGTAAGAGTTTCACCACCGCTGCGTGACCATGTTGAGCAGCAGCGAGCAGAGGTGTCTCGCCCTTAGAGTCCTTGATATCTGCATCAACAGATTCTGTATCAAGTAGAATTTTCACCACAGCCTCGTGACCATTGTATGCGGCCCAGAACAGCGGTGTTCGGCCGTGAATATCAGTAATCTCAATATGACTTCCATTGCTGATACTGATAACAGCTGTTGCCTCGATCCCCCGTTCGGCCGCCCATAGCAGAGCGGAGCTTTTTTGGTTCAAGGCATTCTGCTCTGTAGGAATTTATACCATACCGAATGCAATTTCCTCCCAAGTCATTTATATAAAGAGAAAATGCTTCGCCGCCATATACAGTACCACTCTGTCTATACTTTCCAAGCCTAATTCCGACAGAAGTTTATTATCATATCCTTAACTGAATGGCTTGGCACTCCTATTGTACTGAGTACAAGTCATTGGCTTGACATCACGTGCTGTGATTCAATCAACTATCAGATCTGGTTTAGCTCGGAGCTAGCCACTTTTGAGTTAGCTCTTATTGACAAGAGGTTTACGTGAGCCTCCCTCCAGGGCGATCCGAAAAAAAAAATTCGTTCTTCAACTTCCTGTTCCTTGGGGGATCCAGTAGACCCCGAACTCCACGTGACCGATGACCCAAGGCAGCAAGATGTGGGGGTTAACTAAACCACCAGAACCACCGTTTAATTCAGATCTGGTCAAACGGTGTTGGTGAAAACTGCTAAATTAAATAGTGAAATTTGTCTGTACAAGCGCACGTAAATTTGCTCAAGCGTTGACGGTCAATCAAGCATCGCGTTTTCTTTTCCAGGACCGCCCTTGCTCCACTGACAATATTTACTATTCCGCTTATTTTTCAACAGGTGGAAGGTGCGCTATCTAAGGTTGATTGGAAGGCTCAACTTATTTACTCATGCTGTAGTTTAAACTCTGTTGATAAAAGTCATATTCATCTGTTTTCATCACTGCATTATGCGCCGTCATTTGCCCTCAAATAACAGTGTGTTCAAATCAACACTTATTTTTCAACGGTTACACCCACGTGTTATTTTGGCAAATTATGGATACCCCATCACCATTAGTGGTGGGGGTAGCAGGAATGAACAGTGATTGTTGAACACGTGACGATTGATTCAGTCTCGCAAATACATCAACAGTTATCAAGAATCCACCAGGCGGGTACAGTAAGTTCACCAACCTCAGATATCGTTATTCATAGGGTGGTGACGTTTCGTATAGAGATGCAATAACTTTTGGCCTTCTAAAGATTTTGATTGAATTCACCGAGTCCGACCGGTGAAAGATGTTTCAAAATCATCTCATTTAAGCTACAGTACGAGGTGAAAATAATAGAGTAACTTACTATATCTTACGGCTGGCAGGCCAAATCACGAGAGATTATGACGCGGGTATTCCCAGATGGCAACTACGAAAGCTGGACACAATGTCGATCGCTTCTTCCACACGTCAAAATAGTGCTGGCATCTAGAAATGACACGGATGGTGACGATCGACTAAATGCTGCCACCCTCTCATCTAATTGTGGATTGTTCCTAGATCTTCAGGGTGCATATGAAGAGGCAGGATCGATGCATGGATGGGCGTTGAAAGCACGAGAGAAGGTGCTTGGATGCGAGCATCCTCACACGCTCATCAGTGTCATTCACCTTGGCAATGTGCTTGACAGCCAGGGGAGATATGAGGAGGCGGAAGCGATGCATCGACGAGCACTAGAAGGATTTGAAAAGGTGCTTGGACAAGAGCATCCATACACGCTCAGTAGTGTTGGTAACCTTGGTAATGTGCTTGACAGCCAAGGGAAATATGAAGAGGCAGAATTGCTGCATCGACGAGCACTAGAAGGAGTTGAAGAGGTGTTTGGACGCGAGCATCGTAACACGCTCACCAGTGTTAGTAACCTTGGCAATGTGCTCTCCAGGCAAGGGAAATATGAGGAGGCGGAATCGATGCATCGACGCGCCCTGGAAGGCAGTGAGAAGATGCTTGGACGCGAGCATCCTGACACGCTCACTAGTGTCAGTAGCCTTGGAAAAGTGCTCTCTCAACAAGGGAGATATGAAGAGGCGGAAGCGATACATCGACGAGCACTAGAAGGACTTGAAGAGGTGCTTGGACAAGAACATCCACACACGCTCAATAGTGTTGGTCACCTTGGTTTAGTGCTTGACAACCAAGGGAAATATGAAGAGGCAGAAGCGATGCATCGACGAGACCTAGAAGGGAGTGAGAAGGTGCTTGGACGCGAGCATCCTAACACGCTCACCAGTGCTAATAACCTCGGCCTAGTGCTCTTCAAGCAAGGGAAATATGAAGAGGAGGAAGCGATGCATCGACGGGCGTTGGAAGTACGAGAGAAAGTGCTTGGACGCGAGCATCCCGACACGCTCACCAGTGTCAGTAATCTTGGCCTAGTGCTTGACAGGCACCGGAAACATGAAGAGGCAGAAGCGATGCAGCGACGGGCGTTGGAAGCACGAGAGAGGGTGCTCGGATACGAGCATCCTGAAACACTCATCACTGTCAGTAACCTTGCTTTGCTCTTGACAACCAACGAAAAAATTGACAGGCAGAAACGATGCATCGACGGGCGCTTGAAGGATACGAGGTGCTTGGAGACGAGCATCCTCACACGCTCACCAGGGTCAACGGCTTTGGCTCAGTGCTTGACAGGCAAGGGAAACCTGCACAGGCACGGGCGCTAGAAGCATGACATAAGATGTTTGTACGTGAGCAATTTTACACTGCGATCAGTCTTTTGATTTTGTCGATCAACATAGGAACATGCAGAGACTTCTTAATTCTGGATTGTACCGGATTGTACCTATAGCATTTAGTGTAGAGGCAGCATATATATCGATCCTTGATATCTATACTTCCTGAAATTCGTTTGTTACTGTTTATCCTGATAGGTCGACGCGGTCCTGAGCTTAAGTTACTTCCACCAGAATCATGTTCCATTGTAGGGTAGCAGGCCATCTCTCATGTGCGGCCGCGTTTAGGTGAGACTGTTCGCTTAGCGGCGCTAGTATCTTTCATACAACACGTTACAAGCTTGTTTTCTTCTTGTGTATTAGCATTACTAGTATTTTTACTTCATGTACCTTTCTAGTGCCAAGCCTTTCACCACATTTGTTATGCCCCAAGGCAATATGATCATGATAAGTTCAGAAACCATTTGGGGGCGAAATGTAGGCGAAAGGATGCAACATCACCTTTCTTACTCATCTCAGGCGTTTTGGTTGATGATCTTGGCGTGATAGTAGCTAACAGCAGACTTTCTACCACTGCGTCTCGGTCTGTAATTCGCCACGCTAGCATTTTGTAATCCGTTTCTGGAAAGAGCTATAAAAAAAGGGTTCGATGACTGTTGCTTCTGCAGCTTTCAGGCAATATTCAAGATGTGTATTGGGGATGACGGGCCTCGGATATGCAGGTACCTGGTGGGCGTGCCACCACACAGGGCATTTCATGTCACCGGGATGGGGGTTAGATTTACTTGTGCACAATGATTGGCGAACAGGGGAATTCTATCGTTTCGAATGAGACTATAAATCTAAAACTGAACAATAATCACTTATATTCCACGCTTGGATCTCCTGCTCCGCCTTGCGCTTCTCTTCCATTTTTGTCAGCAGCTTGTCTCCGGCTTTCGACCTCTTTTTCCGCGTCGGACCTTTTTTCGCCACGGTCATGTCGCGTTTCTTCTGCGCTTCAACGATATCTTCGTAGCTCATTACTTTTGCATGTCCTACAACCGTCTGGCCAGTGGATTGTCGACAGGACTTTTCATTGTTCTGCTCAAATAGGATCCGGTTCTCCTCCAGCAACAAGGCGCGCTCCGCAAAGACCTTTTCGGCCGCGCGGCTCAGTGTCTGTAGACGGTGTTTACACACGCTGTCCAGATTCTGGGTGTCTTGCTCGACCTCGCGCCGAAGCAAGGCGAAATAATCAGAGGTGTTTGGAGTGCAACAGAGATTAGAGGACACGGTTGCAGGGTCCACAGGGACCACGATCTGTTTCTCGGGCTGGGTTGCTTCAAACTCTCGAAGGACACGAGACGGATCGAATGGAAAGAGGCCGCTTTTTGACCACGCGGATCGGATATTCCGGGGCGTAAGTGCCTCCTTTCGGGCGCGATCATAAAGATAGGTGAAGTGTGGCTTACCGATAGTACCCACCCCAGCGCGACATGCCTGTTCCACCTGTGCCCGGTATGCCGTTTTCAGGGGGCCAAAAACACCCACATCGCACGGCTGCAGTTTATGAGACGTATGAGAGGGGAGACGACACAGGATGATGCGGTTGGCAAAGCAGAATTTCATGACCTCCAGAGACTCATGGGTGCCGAAACCATCGCAGATTAAGAGTCGTGGCCGATCGCCCGCTCGCTCTCGAGTCTGCGGATTGAACACATGTTCTATCCAGTAGAGACTGATTTCTGTATTCGTATAGCCTGTTTTGGAGCAGGCGAAATGCCATCCAGGGGTGGCATGAGTGGTCCACGAACCACGATGAGTGGAGGCCGGCCAGATAATGAGAGGATGAAGGGAGCGACCATCGGCGGAAATGCATTCAACCGCTGTGACTAGCGTCCGCTTCACCGTGGTTCCTCGATGCTTTCTCAGATCGTCTTTGCCGACGAGCACCTTGAGGGAGTTGAGAACGCTAAGAAGAACTCCCGTCTCGTCCATATTATACACATTCTCCCGGAGAATGGCAGGATCAGCCAGTTCACAGCCAATAACGGCAAACCAGTGTTGGACTTTCTCTTCGATCTGCCGATCATCTCGCTTCCAATCGATCGCTCGTAGCCGTCGCGCTTTCAACTGCGGGTGGCGCAGGTAAAAACCCTGCGGCCAATTCTTTCCCGGAGGCCGAATCTCGAGGCTGGGATCTATGATTTGGAAAGTCGAGGATCGTTGGCGCGCGATGACCAGAGCGAGCGATCGTAGAAACTTGACTGGGAGCGGATAGCCGTTGTTCGCCAACCGCAACACATATTCTACCAGCGCTTGCTCCTCTTGTGGAGTGAGGTACTGCTGATTGGCGGCTTTATCAACGATAGAAGGCTTGTTATTGGCCCGGCGCCACAAGGTTGATGCGGGGATCCCGGTCGATCTCGACCGGGTTGCGTACGATGTCCGCCTCTGATGTTGATGGGTGGGAGACATCGAGGGTAATTTTAAGCACAGTATGCTGTAAGACGTTTGCTGGTAGGAATCTGCTGGTTGAAATGAAGCCATTCGAATTCTGAGAGGGCATAGGAGTAAATACTGCAAATTATACGGATAACAGCAAGGATGGGGATACCAGCACAGGTTACAATATCTTATATTGTTACTAAAAAATATTCTTAACTTCTAACTTAAATGAGGCCATGTTTGAAGCAGCTGGTTCCATCAAAATCTTGGAGAAGGCCAAAACCTACAGAATGTCTACACGAAGTTTCACCACACTATGAATAACGATATCCGGGAATGTTGAACCTAACTTACTCGTGGATTCTTGATGACTGTTGATGTATTTGCCAGACTTACACTAAACAATCGCCATGTCTTTAACAGTGACAGTTGAATTGTGCAAGCGTGTCGACAATGGTGATGTTGTATCCGTAATCTGCCCTAGTCACCCGCGGTTTTGACCGTTGAAAGACAAGGGACCATTTAAACACTGTTATTTGAGCAAATTTGCTGGCGCATACTGTAATGATGGAACAAGACATACATGAATATTTACATCGACGGATTTTAAACTACAGCACGGGCAAAAAAGCTGCAGGATTTGAATTGACCTCGAATAGCGCCATTTTTGACGGTTGAACACCAAAAGGAAAATTGAATATTGCCAGATAAGCAAAAGCAAACAGTCTAAAGCAGAAGTTCATGGGGCGGGTTAGTTGATGAAACTAAACGTGAAATTTGGCCGTTGACCGTCAACGGCTGAGCAAATACGGGAACGTTTATGTGGGCAAATCTCACCATTTGACGGTTTTCACCAGGACCGTTTGACGAGATGCAAATTAAACAGTGCTTTTGGTGGAACCCCACATCTTGCTGGCTCAGGCCATCGGTCACGTGGAGTACGGGGTCTACGGGATCCCCCGAGGAACAGGAAATTGAAGAACGGAAATTTTTTCGGATTGCCCTGGAGGCAGGCTCACGTAAAACTTTTCTCACGGCGAGCTAACTCAAAAGTGGCTAGCTCCGAGCTAAACCAGATCTGACTTAAAAGTTGTTTGAATTACAGCACGTGATGTCAAGCCAATGACTTGTCCGTAGGAGTGCCAAGCCATTCAGTTAAGGATATGATGATAAGCTTTCTGTCGGAAATAGGCTTTCGAAAGTATAGACAGAGTGGTACTGTATTTAGCGGCGAAGCATTTTCTATATACATAAATGACCTGGGAGGAAATTGCATTCGGTATGGTATAAATTCCTACAGAGTGATGGGAGTAATCAGTGGCCTGCAGGCTGCAGGCGCAGGCTCGATACCCCGCACCTGTTAGGGATTCAGCCTCACCGGAAGGCTGAGCTGACCGTCAATCAACAAAGGGGCGACGGTCTACTACATGCTCATCCGATGTACCACTCTAACAAAGGCAATCGCGATGGCTACCGTTAGTCAGAGAAAGTTGCACGTTTTTCGGGTGACAGGCCTGTTGAGGGAGTTACCTGATGAGGATCTCAAGACCGCAGTCCAAGAGGCCCTGAACGACAACTTTACCCACGACGAGAGTAAATCAAGGTCGAGATCACAATCGTGCCTTCATGCTATGAAAGTGACACGCAGAGGGTGGCGCTGGTGCAGTTCGGGGGTGGGGTGCCTCAGTTCCTTCATGAGCTGAGAGTCAACCCTCTCGGGGACTCGCAGATCGAGATGGGAGACGAAGATATCAACTTTGACTGCCACTTCTTTGGATTTACCCAGCTCTACACGACGGACGATAAGGAGCCTGTGGTTGCAGAGTAAGGACTGTGCCTTTATCTATATCTAGAAGATCAACGCTGACCGAACGAACATAGCATTATCGCCATCGCCGGGCTAGACGGTCATGCGTAGGGATCGTGGCAGGGCAGGGGAAACCTCGGTCGGATGTGGCTGCGGGACTTCCTATCGAAGGATTTGCCGCAGTGCCGCACGATGATCTACGGGTATAACTCTAAGCTGTCAAGCTACGGAGTCGATACGATCCTCGACGACAGACGGGAGCTGATGGAGGAGATCAAGAAAATCCGAAACACGAAGGAGGTAGGAGGCTGAGTGGCCTGCCTGTTAATAGAATTTTGGGCTGATTCTGTGACCGACCAGCTCCAGCAGAGACCTCTGATTTTCATTGCACACAGCTTTGGAGGCATTATATTAGCTCATGTGGGACCACCATCCGATGTGGAATATCTGATGCTGATATCAACTTATGGTGCCTTGTTAAGGCAATCCAGACGATGGAGGAAGACCACCCGGCGATCACGTCGCTATATCGAGCTACGTACGGCATGATCCTCTTCGCCATCCCCCACAAGGGATTAGTGATGGACGACATCCAGCAGATGCTAGCCGGTGACAAAAGCCACCCGCGAGAGCAACTACTGCAACAGATCTCCAGTAAATCGGACCTACTGATCCACCAGCTGGCGGATTTCAAGAATTTGATCAGAGATCGAAAAGTGGTCAGCTTCTACGAGACGGAGCAGACAAGACGGTTGGTATTGGTACGTGTTGCTCTTTGTCTGAACAGACTATGCCATACTGATCATCACATAGGACTCGGAAAGCGGATGATGGAAACGCACTGGAGACTTTATGACGACAGTGGGCGCAAACTCGGCTCTTCTCCAGCTCCCCGACCATGTAGAGGACAAGGTGCCGCTGCATGCAGACCACTCGACGGTGATCAAATTCGACACGCGTAACGCGGCCGGGTATCGAACGGCGCTCGATAAATTGCGACAGTTCTTAAAGAACGCGCCGTCGGTGGTGGCAGCTCGGTTTGGTAAGTGATATGCTGCAGGGTGTTTTCGCAATCTAACGGAACTCTTTCAGCACAGACGCGTCCGAAGCCTCAGCCGTGCTCCACGGTCCCTTTTAAGAAGGACCCGATGTTTGTGGGCCGTGAATCTGTCATCAGTGCGATCAAGGAAAGACACAAGGAGATCGGCCAGACTCATGAGCGGGTAGCATTGGTGGGGTTGGCCGGCGTCGGGTGAGCGGTCGCCATCAGAAAGCATATTGAATTATGAATGACTATCTGACTGCCATCAGAAAAACGCAGACGGCCATCGAGTATTCCCATCGCCTGCGAGAATCCACACCGGACACGTGGGTTTTTTGGATCCACGCAAGTAATGCGGCGCGGTTAGAACAGGGCTACCAGCAGATTGCCGCAGTCGCGGAGATTTCGGGACGGGACGATCCGAAGATGAACATTCTCCAGCTCGTGTGTCAGTGGTTGTGTGATGCACGCAATGGGCGCTGGCTGATGGTGTTGGATAACGCGGGTGACGATGGGATCTTCTTCGGCAGCAGTACATCCGATGAACGAGGGCCACTGGTGAGGTTCCTGCCGCAGGCCGCGTATGGATCAATGCTGATCACATCGCGAAATGGACGTGCAGCACGGAACCTGGTGGGGCGAGACGGTCATGTGATTGAAGTTCGGCCAATGAACGAGGAAGAGTCCCTCGCTCTTTTACAGGCAAGGATTCCGGCACCCCAATCTGGAGATTCTGGAGAGCCCGGAGAGGACGAGAAAGCGCTAGTCGAGGCACTGGAATATATTCCACTGGCAATCACTCAGGCCGGGTCCTATATTGCCAACCGGTTGCCCCTGGTCACGGTCGCCGTATACCTCCGACTTTTCCAGGAGAGTGAGTCGAAGCGGACGCGGCTGCTTCAGAATGAAGATTCGGCGGATCTCCGGCGCGACCCCAGCATTCGGTATGCGGTGATCACAACGTGGCAGATATCGTTTGAGCAGATCCGGCAGGAGCGGCCGGCGGCGGCAGATCTCCTTGCGTTAATGAGTATGGTCGACCGGTAGGGAATCCCCGAAGATCTGGTGCGCGACTCCGATGAAGATGAACTGGACTTTCACGATGAATTGGCGCCGCTGCTCAGCTATTCTCTGATCCGACTGGAGAGGAACGAACGGTTGGTCGACATGCACCGGCTGGTACAATTGTCGGTCCGGGCGTGGCTAGACATGCACCAGCAGCTCCACGGCTGGCAGGCCAAGTCACGAGCGATTATGGCACGGGTGTTTCCAGATGGGAACTACGAGAGCTGGACACAATGTCGAACGCTCCTTGCGCATGCCAAGAGCGTGCTGAAGTCTGTGTGTGACATCGATGATGAAGACGTATTGAATGCGGCCACGCTCTCATCTAATTGTGGGTGGTTTCTAAATCTTCAAGGAGTTCACACGGAGGCAGAATCAATGCATCGATGGGGGTTGGCGACACGAGAGAAGGTGCTCGGACGCGAGCATCCCGACACGCTCACCAGTGTCAGTTATCTTGGCTTAGTGCTTCGCAGACAAGGGAAATATGAAGAGGCGGAAGCGATGCATCGACGGGCGCTCGAAGCACGAGAGAAGGTGCTCGGACGCGAGCATCCCGACACGCTCACCAGTGTCAGCAATCTTGGCTTGGTGCTTGACAGCCAAGGGAAATATGAAGAGGCGGAAGCGATGCATCGACGGGCGCTCGAAGCACGAGAGAAGGTGCTCGGACGCGAGCATCCCGACACGCTCACCAGTGTCAGCAATCTTGGCTTGGTGCTTGACAGCCAAGGGAAATATGAAGAGGCGGAAGCGATGCATCGACGGGCGTTAGAAGCGCGAGAGAAGGTGCTTGGCCGCGAGCATCCTGACACGCTCATTAGTCTCAGTAATCTAGGCTCAGTGCTTGACAGCCAACGGAAATCTGCACACGCGGAAGCGATGTATTGACGGGCGCTAGAAGCACGACATACGATGTTGTACAGTACGTGAGCAATCTTACACTGCGATCTGTCTCGATGTTTAGATATCTTCGATCAACACAGGAACATAAAGAGGCTTCTGCATTCTAGACTGTACCCATAGCATGTGCTGTAGAGCATCACATATATTGATCAGTATCTAAACTTCATGAATTCGTTTATTACTCTTTATCCTCATAGGTCGATGCGGTCCTAAGTCTAAGTTACTCGACCAGACTCATGTTCCACACCAGGCTAACAGGCCATCTCCCACATGCCGACATGTTTACGTGTGGCTGTTCGCTTAGCGGCGCTAGTATTTTTCAGACAATACGTTACCCGTTTGTTTTCTTTGCTGTGTAATCGCATTATCGGTATTTTTACTTCTTGTACATTTCTAGTGCCAAGACTTTCACCAAAATTGGTATGCTCCCAGGCAATATGATTATGATAGGCTCAGATATCATTTTTTGGCCAAAGGTAGACGAAAAGATGCAGCATTCCATTTCTTACCCTTCTCAGACGTTTTGGTTGATGGTCTTGGCGTGATCGTCGTCAACAGCGGACTTTTTAGCAATCGCTTTCGACCTGTAATTCGCCAAAAAAACATTTTGTAATTCGTGTTTCAATATTGAACTATCAAAAAAGCATTTGAAGATTGTTGTCTCTGCAGCTTTCAAGCAATATTCCAGATGTGTATTGGGAGTGATGGGCCTCGAACGTGCAGGTACCTGGTGGGCGTTTCATCACACAGGGCATTTCATGTCACCGGGATGGGGGTTACTAAATCCCTCCGCATTCATATTCCGGTAGCTTAAGACAAGACGTCTTCTGGGCGTGGTGATGTTCGCGAAGTATATAGTTGTCTTGGATATGATACATGGTGTACCTTAGCATGGAGATCATTTAGCTGCCATAGACTGCATGTCAACTTGGCAGTTATTTATCCTCTTTTGACTTGAGGCTCGGCTGATCCAGATCCAAGCCCTATCACCGGAATCAATTCCCGCATCGTTTAATAGCATGACGCTGGAAAACCGCGTGTATATGAAGGCTACTTGGGTTTTGAGCAATCTAGTTGGTGGAGCACTGGAGACTAAATGAGGGCAAGCATCGGATCCCCCAGCCCTTTTTCCTTTTGATTCCCCTCTCCAGTCTCGCTGTTCCAGAACTCGCTGCAGAGTGTACTGTTTCCTCGAAAAATAGATTTTCATCACACATTAGGTCGATTTACAATCAGCTTCATTCTTTTCAAGTATACATATCTTCAACGCGGCCCATGTGGGACAAGCAATCAAGCTTCATTTGATTTTACAACACAGTTAACTAAGTCAAGTCATGTGCGCAATATTCCCGGGGGCCCATAAAAGACAAAATCGGCTCTCAAAAGGTATTTGCAGGACCCTCCCGCCAGCTACGTTGCATGTTTTCAATCAACTCAAATCCAGCAGGCCTCTGTGAGAGAGGACGGTTGCAAATATCGCTCCATTTCATCCACTTTAGATCAATGATGAGATGTGTACTCCGAATCGGGCCGAGCAGAGACTAAGGTCTGCAAAATAAACAAGGCCCTCTCCATAATATGAGACATTCTTGACTCCGAAAGTAATTTATCAATAAATCATATTCTCACATTGATGAAGGTCTGACAGTCAACTTTCACTGCTTATATTCTCGTATTTCAAAACAGACTCTCGGTAGGTACTGTATGCTCAACAAACGCCGTGCCCCTTTTTTTTGAGAAAGCCAGGGGCTTCAAATTATGCAAACAGGGCAAAATTAAATACCACGTAAGCTTCTATGGATATCCCTATTCGGCCTCTCGATAAATATCCGAACATCATATGTCCAACGACCCCTGCATGAGAACATATTTACGCTAAAGCCAGAGGACATCAAAGCGACTAGCAAAGCTTAACATGATAAGTTGCTGCTATGCCAGTCTGAGAAGTCCGCAAACGATGAAACTCCCTGGTCAAAGCCTTGACCAAGCGGTCTCGTCCCTGGGGTTGTTCCTTTCGACTGCGTCGCTCATATGTCTGATTGTCGTCTTCGTCGCATGTACATCTCCATCTGCGCCGGAATCGCTATACTTTTTGAAGGCAAGCAAACTTCTTCCTGCAAAAGATTACGATAGGCTGACTGGTCCAGGTGAATATGACGGGATTTCCACAGTTGACACACGCTATAAACCTTGTCCGACATGATTTTCACGAGAGATCAAAAGTTGGAATCCCAGACGAGGTTATCAGTCATAACAATGTCATGGGTAGTGTAGCTAACGACGCAGCTACCGCCGCTGAAGGTGTATCCACGACCGCGACTGCTGCCATACATGATGCAGATGACAAGATGAAGGAAGAGGCGCAGAGGTTGACTTCCCAGTTGTTCCAGTATTACACTGTAGGTCTTTGGGGCTATTGCATGAAGCGAGAAGGGTCCGAAATACAGTGTTCACGTCCCAACAAGACCTTTGTGTTTGACTTTTCAACCATTTTTGGTTCTCTCATGACCGATGTACGCAGACTCATGCCCACGGTCGACTGGCAACGGATCTCAGACTACCATCGGCTCGCCCGAACGATCGTTTGGCTGTACATCGCAGCGATTGTCACAAACGTCCTTACAGCCCTTGCTGCTTGTCGCAAAGCGTATTATCTGAAAGGAGGAAGGCTTCTTGTAGGTATCAGTCTAGTATGTGTTTCTCTAATGGCTTATTTGACCTCTACTAACCGTCTCAGATTTCTTCGTTATTACTCTTAGCGGCCACAGTGGGCTCGTCCGTTCTTTATGCGCTGGTCGTAGCTTGTGTTAAGGGGATTGCAGGAGATATTGGTGTACAGGTGTCTCTTGGAACACAAAATTATGTGGCTACATGGCTTGCAACTGCTTTCTCTATCGGGGCGCTTGTCATTTGGCTGATCCAGCTATACTGTTGTTGTATTTGAGCATCGAATGCCCATGTTGAACACTATCCCTGAGATTTGATGTTTTGTTATGCTATAAAAACATTGTTTATCTGCACCTTGCGATTGAACTTATTCTCCGACAAGAAAGGCGACCTGCGATTCCCAGCGCCACCCAGCGCGAGCATTACACGATTGCTTGCTCTTGAGGTAACGACCAGGGACAGTAATGTATATAGCAGCGTAAGAAGGCCAACTGCGTTAGTTGTTTGGAAATTTCTCTCGACAACGGTGGTCTCCTAATCGCCTCGTCTGAGATTCAGACGGATTACACATTTTTGCCATTGATCCGAATGCATCACGGGGGGAAAGAGATGGACGCTTACGGCAAAGATCTTCACATTCTAGCTGGGCTTGGCAGGCATTTCGAACCAAAACACGAACAGTATTTCTCAGATCTGCCAGGGTTTCATGAACATTTGACAAGGGCTGATGATGGCTGTCGTAGATTTCTGTCAAGTTATTGACGGTCTCTTGCGTGGCATCTTGAAGATGTTTGAAGAGCGCGTAGCATTCGCGGTAGTACATGTTTTCTGTCTGTTGCTGTCCCATTCGACGCACGATTTCTTCAATATTTCCCATCGCGTTGGGTTGATAAATTGGGGGAATCAGTCTCATGGATGCTTGAAATACATTGTCTGCGACCAGAAAAGGACCAGACAACAGCATCTCATGCATTCAAGGAACAGTGAAGGAAGAATAAACTGTCCAACAGGTTATGAATGTTGAATCACCAAATCCAACGTTGACGTAAATTCGAAAGTTGCGGTCCGCGGGGTCATTTTTTCACATATCAGTGTCCAGAAGCCCACCGGCTTTCTCTATAAATCTATGCCATTGAACCCTCGATTTCGACCAAAGGCCAGTCCTTCCTGCCATTATCCCCGCCACCATGAAAACCTTTGACGTACAGAACCTCTTTGATTCTGCGCTGGCTTGTATGCTGAGCATTTTCACGTTGGGTTATTTTTCCATTTTCCTGTGTCAATTCATTCTTTTTCGTTTACCTAGTGCACAAGAATCCATCCCAATGGCACTATCAATGATTGCATTCGGCAGCGGCGTCATCCTTTGGAGTTTGTCTGTTTTCTGCCACCGAGCATTTAACATATTTGAGGTCCGTACACCTCAAGAGCAGAAAAACATCGCTTGGTGCGGCCTATTATTTCTCGTGTGGACAGCGGCTCTTCCCACGATTGCGATTCTCTTTCCCGCGCAGCCTCTTCTGCAGTTGGGATACATGACCATTTTCACCGTAATGGCCCTCGGGAATTTGCCGGAGTACGCAGGTGCGAATGAGACGGCCACCGAAACTCCCCCCGTCGATTGCCAATTCATATGATCTGTGTCGTTCTATTTGCGTTAGTCCCAACCATGCATGCGCTTGCAGAACCTGTCACCACCAGCTCACCTTTGGCGACTGCTTTTGGGCGCTTCGTGCTCTGCAACGTAATGGGCGCCGCTGTCTACCTGTTGGAACCTTTCGAGAAAATCATCGCCATGCCAAACTGGAACCCAAGTCTTCACATCATGCATTCGATCCTTGTGTTGAGTCTCATTTCTTATTCTCGTGTTGTATTCGATGAAGTGACTTCGCGAATGTCTTGAACGACGATTTTCCTGGCCAAAGCAAGCCCAATGCCCTGCGGATTGTTTAGAAAAAGCGGTTTGGACTACAGGCCATAAATAGAAGCCTTGTTTAGCGAAAAGGTCAAAATCGGGGAGAACAAAGACACAAAGACCCTGTTTGGTCTATATTATCCTGCGACGTGGCTATTCATGTATGTGATGTCTGATGCGTCGGGCATCCACCGACCAATCAAACACCACGTCCGTTCTCTCACTTCTTTCATTTTCCCGTTACCCATGCTTAAGTATTTCTGTTCCAATGCTACAATACGATTTTGGTTGTTCATCTCTCTCTCGTACCTGAGCGGATAGTAAGGTTCTCTCCGAAAGTCGCATATTCAGGGATGTACTCATTGGAAACGTTCTTTTCCTATGCACCTCAACCTAGCCTAGGGTAGTCCACCTTCATGTCTAAGTGGTTTCGTGCATTTTTTTTGCAACGAATGGCCGGTATCTCAGCAAATGGACTGCTTATTACGTACAGCACGAGAGAAGAAGATATATATGTGCGCGATTTTACATTGGAGACTTGGTCAATAAATCGGTAAGGCATAGCACTAATGAACTTTAAACCATGAATGATATTGGATGAGAATAGGAATAGTGCCTCAAACTTTCTCGCATAATGGCTTGTCTCCCCTGGGGGTATACTGTACGCCATTCCCAACTCTGATTATGCAGATTCTTTATGATGGCGACTTGGCGATCTATCCCTCCCAGCCTGTCCTTCCTCGGACCAGCCATGGGTCGAATCCGTGTCTAGATCAAAAACCTGGGCTGATCTCTGAAAATGCACTTGGACTGCACTTCGAACGGCCACGTTAGTATCTGGACCTCCGCAGACTATTCAGTTGTCAGCTGACTGAGCAAATCACGAAACATAGAGCATTACACACCGATGACTGCCATCTTTCCCCGCTGTTGGTCAGCATACCGCCTCATTTCGATCTCAAAGTCCACCGCACCATCATATATCCACAGTCGTTTTCCTAATCGTCGAGGACGGTCAGGCGGGCTCCCCGAGCTGGGCATTCCGCGAAAAATTCGAAACTGAAGAATCTTCATGGTTTTCCATTAGTTGTGACCCCAATGTCTGTGCCTGAGCCAGCTTACGTCAAAATGATCCCGGTCGGTATCAAACATCCGCTGCCTCCACCGCTTGAACCATTCGGGATTTTCTATTGAAATCTTTTTAGTTCTCCCATAAAACGATCATCAACTTTGTCAGACTTACTAAATGGTCTTTCACGTTTCCAAAGCACTTCAACCCGACGCACCATGGCTGTCCTTTGGCAACTAGCGCGAAGAAGCATCTCAATATAAGGAAGCGCCCGAAAAACACCAATGTCTTCCAAAGCGAAGATGATTGTTCCATAACATGAAAGCTCAGGTGTTCGACCATAAGGCCCAAAGACCACGACAGGTTGCCTCCAAACAGCCTTCTCTGTCCGCTGCAAGCAGGAAAGTCGGTAAAGTGCGCGGTTAAGCTTGCAGTGGGGTCGAGCGACCATGTGAATGTTCCACGTTTCTTTTGAGCGCTCAAATTCGCAAACAGAGACATAACACAGGATATGCTGGCTGAACGCTCGCCATCCGGCCCAAGGAAACCATAAATAGATGTATTGACCGGGACTGAATTGTCGACTCGATATCATTGATAAATCCATCCATAGAATGCCGTCGGCCGCTGAGAGGTAGACTGTCGTGCTAGGGGATCTCCAGGGTAGATATGCAACCAGGGCTCGTAGACCGAGAAATGCCGTGCAAACGAACCACCAACAAAGGGCCCCAAGCAGTATCCAACGGTAAGGAGACTTTGTCTGTATAAGATGATGACCCAGTCCCGCGACTATGAAGCAAATCAAAAGATAGTGGCATTTCAAGGCAAATTGTGGATGATACCGTCGGACAAGCCTAGACGTGACGATTCCGACTAGAATGAAGCTGACGGCAGCCTACTTGAGGTTAGCAAACGCTGTCAAGGGTTTGTACAGGACAATCACTCACAAGTATCGTCACTACCTGGCTCGGCCGTGTCATTGTCATGGTGTTAGGGGCTGCGAATAGGACAGATGTATGGATGATCGCATGAACCATTGAAAGAAAGCCGATCCAACGATGAAAGCAAGCAAATGTGTTTCTCTCAATGCGGAAAACTTCCGCCGGTAGACCAAAATGCATTCCAAAGCATAGTGGGACTAGGTGGAGTACCACAAGCTGGCCAGCTCTCCTCGTGATGGCGTGCCAAGAGCTAGCACGAAAGACCAAAACTAGAATGTTTGTAGCCAGCAACATGGCCACAAATAAGCCCTGTGCCGTGGTGTCGATGTCAATCCACCGCATGCATATGCAACTGATAGCATGCCCTCTCTGACGCCATGGATCGGAGACACGAGAGAGAAAACGGGTCCAGAGGACATATTTCCCGCTCCCCGAGCACCATGCCACGAGATGGGTCCCGTATGCACAGGATAGCCATATCAGACAGATTACGGCAATAACCGCACCGTAAAGCTGTGGAATCGATAATGCTAGAATCGATTCTTTGATCTTTGAAAGAGTCAGCATCATGACTACAAATATCTTAGCAGCCGGATCATTGGTCCATATATATGGATGGGAATCTCCAGGGAGCAGCGCGTTTCAAATAACCTCATCTTAGAGATATGCTCAGATTATTTTTATCGGCCAATTCTGCGGTATGAAGTTAAATTGATCTCCTGTGGCTTCTATTTTGGATAATGCGTCAGCTAGCTTCCTGAGGAATGCGCAAATCGGACACTCGTGAAAGGCCCAGCAGTTTTTAAAAATGCATCTCTTGGATCCGTGGATGGGGACTATCGACCTCCTAGGAGGATTTCAAGCTCCTTTGGATAAATATCACGGCTTTGCAGTCATGCATCCGGTTTCCCCGTACCGTAAGTTCCCATTGGAATTATTAGATCTGCGATCACGACGCCATGATATCGCAGTCCATTACCGCGTCGAGCCTGGTGACTTTCCTGGCTTTAATTCATTTGATCAGGTTGTACCTTCTATTTCATTTCAAATCTGATTGGACACGGTTTAAGGCGGATGTCATACTAAGCAATTTGTCATGTATTATGTTTGGGACTTTAGCAGGGCTCTTTTGGGCCAACAAAGCGCCAGTGGGGCGGGAAGTCCTTCTTCAGTTAAGCGCTATACCCACAACCCTTCAAGTGGTAAGTCCAACCGTTCTATCAACCATTGAATGTGGGCTGAGTGAGTCATAGTTCCTTCGAATCGATTTCCAACAACGACGACACCCAACTCTGCCCGGATGGGTTCTCATCCTGTGCCCGATGTTCGCCGCATTGTCTAGTATTGCGAAGGTAGTTGTGGCTATTACTGGAACATTTTACTGGGACCGCTTACACTGGGGTATTCTTTTTATTCTGTGTCTGGACTACCTGGGGGTAGCCTTGTGGTATTGGTGGTTGGTTGGCCAAGTGCTAGCCCGAAGAAGGCTACAAATGATTGCGCTGTATGCCTCTGTCTTGGCTCTGCTTTTGCTTGCTAGTGCAAGCGTTGGGACGGTCTGGAAATTGTGGGTTATTGCACTGGAGGTAAGTCACGAGATTTTGATGCTTCATCTACATGATTCTAATGGTTTTACCAGGTTCAACTTGTCTTAATTGTCATATGGACAATTTTTCAGCAGCTCCTCTTCGGATAATGGGCGTGAGTGTTCTTCTACTGTGACAAGTGCAGTGATTTTTAGGGTAGAGTGACGGCGGCGTTGTGGGGGAGGGGGGAAGGTTGATAGATCATTCAATTTAACACGCTCTCGCGACAATTAAAACTTTCTCTTGATTGCAGGTCGTCTCAATTACTGGAAAGGATGTTTATATTCCCAATACCAGTGATTAGCTCCCCTTTAATATAAATTCTGATCACACTTTCATATCGAGCTACGAATTTGACAATGCTATCCAATATTTGAAATGATGCGATGGACAGAGTGCAACATCTTGCCGCTCATCTTATGAAAATTTAGTCACAAACAGTTTTTCAAGTTAAACAAAAGGTTCGCATGGCACAAGCCAATGATGCCAACAAGGCTAGCGTCATAACATGACCTACTGTAAACAAATAATAATTTCTCTAAGATTTCAGAAAAAGCTATCTAATCATCTAGGTATTGAACGGGCCAAACTGACCATTCCAAACTATCTCCCGTAATCCATCCAAACTTAAAGAGAAGATGGACTATATGCTGAGGGAGACGTTGGTCGCTAGCCTACGCGGCGATGAGCCATTGGGCGCAGTCGCCTCATCCAATCGCGTCGTTTTTCTTCGTAATGCGCATTCTCAACGTGGTTGCGGATCTTTTGAAACCCACTTTTCTTCTTAATTCCTTCTTCGAGGACGGTAATGAAAGAGAGACGGGGCCAATTCGGCCCTGGACGAAGGCGCATTCGAATCATCATCTGAGAATTCGGCTCAGAATCGCGTTCACTGTTCTGATACCGATTCCGACAGTTTTCATTTCTCGCCTCTTGAACTTTCTTCACATTGTTGGATGGGTCCAGCAGCGGGGTTTTGTCCAAGTCACAGATCTTATTTGCGTTTCTTCGGAACACCCGGCGAGTATAAGGAGACATCGCGGCTTAAGTGGAGAGCGAAGAGAGGAAGATCAAATTGCCCTGATATATATAGCCCGGAGCATCGAAAGAGCCAACCAGTATAATCGTGGAATGGTTGGTCCAATCCCTCTCAAATATGATTTCTGACACCGACATGCACTATAATGTGTATTCCAGCGATGAAATAATCTTCCTCAGATACAGATGGCCACCATGATTCATGGCGGTAAGCAGTCCTCATACATTCGAGGTATGTTACTTAGAGATAGGGTTCACCACGTCGGAGTGGATTCAGCTCGGGAATCAGGAAAGCACGGGTATTCAATGTTGAAACGTTGACTGGGTCAAAAGTGATGGTAGACGTTCCGATTCCAGGCCCTTTATTATGTCTGCAGCTATGCGATTTATTTCAAAGCTTCTATAAAACAATAGTGTTTTCCCTGCAGCTGCTCTTCCCTGCCACCCATCGACAGCATCGATTATCGCAAGCCACAATGACTCGAGCCAGTAGTTCTAAGCGGGCACTCATGAGAATCAAGTGCCGCGAGGCCTTGTCCGCTCACATCTGTAAGCTTCAGTCACATCATGTGTCTCAATTCACTGCTAACCTCTTCGTGGATGAACGACTGGGTCTCACCATCGCACCTGCCCAGGTCCAGCTGCAACCTTTCCCAAGTGACGGCTACTCTTGGTCGGCTACGGGCACGAGTGCTACACTCTTGGAAAAAAACATCAGCAGCGGAAATATATGGTTCTATAAATCCATATGTCAGGAATTGGGGCGTTCCCTTGAAGCGGTGCCCGTGCAGGTATTGAAAGGCACCGGAAAGGACAAAGTGAATCAGGCATGTCCAGTTTCTTCCAGCCTGGTTAGCGCGGCTTCTAACACGTTAAGATCCAGGATTGTGTCACAAGGTCGGGCTCCAGTTCTTTCACAGAAACCATTCTCCAGCTTGAGATCGCAATATCCAGGTTGAACGAAGAATTGAGCTACGCTCGTGAGCAACTGAGCCAGTCACAGGCCGAAAATTGCCGGTTAGATCAAGCCCTCACTCGCAGTGGCAACGAGCTAGAAAGCTCGACATTCGAGAACAGCAATTTGAGAAATGAGCTACTGAGGTCAGAAACCAGTATTATCAAGGCAATGCAAGCATTGGAAGGGACGGCAGTGAAGACAGCAACCGAAAGTCAAGAGGATCTGCAGATGGAAGACTAATCCGAGCCGCATCTTTGTAATTAGTCTCCCAAGAACTATTTTCGTCTTTTCACCTTGATCCAGAAAAGTTGTAGTTATACAAAAGTGCAAATGCAACGGGGAGAAGGATGGTTATCCCGTACTTGGCCTTCCATTGGGCGGGAGGCCGCTTGTGCACTCCGTTGGCTTTGAGCATCTCAAATCACCTCTTCAATAAATTAATTCGGATTGAGGCCATACTTGTCTTCTTGTCTATTGGTGTTCATTCTTCCCGTAACTCTAACAGTGACAAACGTTTATATCCTCCATGGCGCCAATTTTGGGTTGAGGGATGCAATAAACGATCGCTTAACACACACAGAATACCATACCCACACAAAACTCCCAGAGCTTAAATAGAGATAATTCCGATTAAACCTGCTTTAAAGTTTCATGACACACAAGGTCCGCCAAGCAATCTATCAATTCTGTTCTATCCGATCAACGAGAATGGGCTCTGAAAACCCTTTCCTCCCGTGGACCACTCATGTCGCATTTCTCCAATCACGCCTTGGATTCGGCGAATTACCATTGCAGCCCATTAATTGCTCACAATCTCCTGTTCTTGGAACAAACAGATACAGGTAAGTCTCTAAGTTGCCGGATATCTGAATCTCATATTGATCTCCTGAAGCTTCGGAGTTCCCCTTACCGTTTCTCAATCACAAAACTGGATTCATTATTCGATTCCTGCCAGAGTCCAAATGATGATCCTCTTGGCGTCATTGACGAGCGAAAAACCTCCAGGCAGTCACATTTCAGGACTGGTACACTGCTCTAAATACTCATTTCCGTCCGTTGACCAAGTCATGCATCAGGAGAAGATTGCATATCTCGACTGCCTATCAATCCGATCAGCTATCCTCAACCTGGAGAAATATCCTCTGGGCTGGATGAACAGTAATCCCATCAAGCCATCGTCAATCCGAAACCATTCAACAATGTTGCCCAGAAGAAGTCTTTGGTCGAACATAGCTACCGGAAGACATCGGGTGCTTGAAGACCATTTTCGAGGTAAGCCACTATAATTGCATCTCAATTCTTTCAGCACAAATAATGACGGCTGCAACATCTATTCCCAACCTGAAGTCCGCCTTATGCACGTTCCCGGGTGCTTTGAGGTGCTGTACCGAGATCAGCTATTGTCAATGCGGTCACTTTCGAACCAAAGGGCCAAAGGGGTATCAATCCGAAGATACGCCTTTCATCGATGCATTACACATCGAATACGCTCCAAGGATGTGTTTTTAGCGGTGAGATTTCAATTTCTACCCATGATCTTCTAGTCTCTATTAGTCAACTCATTGCATCGTGACAGGAACCATCCTTATGTTATATTGCTCTTAAGCGAGTTCCCAGAATCTCTCGTGGGCTTAGTCAGATCTCAACAACCATGACACCTAGGAAGCCAACGACACATGTCGACGTATCAACAGATCCCCAGAACGTGTCCACTCGACAAATACTTTTGGTTTTACATAACACAGTGGCTCTCACTGGTTTGGCACCTAGTATTGAGGTCCGGGTGGAGAGGATGGGTTTGGTGCCAATAAGTTACAATCCGAACAGTAACATCCTCTACGTTGACCCGATCTGGCAGAACCCTGATATTATGCATTGCATTTTCCCTTGCACTGAATCAAAATTGGCGCAGGGGAATTGTGCTCCATCGAGTGGCCTATGTGATCATCTTCTGGAAGAGCTTTGCCGAAAGGCACTGCGTGTGATCTACACCGAAGCCCCTCTCCCAATTTCCAATCAGAATTGGGTTATTCGGTGTGTAAGAAACCGCCTTCGCTATATGCCTCGTCATGTAAAAATCTGCAAATCGGGGCCAGCTCAACTGTCAATTATCTGGGAGACCAAGGGGTCCGAGTTCCCGTTCATTGCGCACCGTTCTAAGCCAGAGTACCATATCGTGCTTCATGCAGAGAGCTGCAACGAAGTTGAGTCACCTCTATTTCATGGACACTCGGGTATGTACCGCATAGACAAATGTTTACACCTGACCAGGGATTAACCCCATGGCTGATCACTCTGCTCTTAGTTTGCTTTCCGGGTCAGCAGGCGCTCTGTGGCTGTTCACAGCAATTGGTTTCGAATAGCCGGGCATCTGTCGTGTTTGCCAATCTCGACTGTTCTCAAAGATATTACGCTATGGTCTCCGTCAATCAGGATATGGCATTTTGGGGGGTGTCTACCCTTTCTGCCTGTCCGGATACAGGCATTAGTTTCGAAGAGCCGTGGGGATCGCAGACGGTCTCCGTCGAGAACGCTTCACACTCGAGTATCAGCCACGGTCAATCTTTGTCACCATTCCACTTGAGAGTTCTACAAAACAGGCAACGATCGCAAATAGCTGGAATGATCCGAGCGTATTCCTGCCTACCAGAGAAAACCCCTCAACTGTAGGACAAGCAGTCTGTTATTCGACTTTCCCAGCTATGACCTTTATTGTCTTTACTGGTTATCTCAGGCTGTAATTCTTTGATGATTTCAGATACGACTCCAAGGCTTCTGGATATTTGATGTATAACTTGATCCTGATAAAAGAACGGGGCAACACTTGCCAAACGCCGCTGCTACCTATATCTTTCGTGAATCCAGCATGTCGGCGGTTCTGAGAACCCCCATTTGGACAGTGACTCATAATATAATATCTCATTCAAATAAATCAATGACATACGGATTTATACGATGTAGCATCAAAGCCCATAAGGAGCCTCGTCCAACCAAAATTCCAACACGATGCCATTAGCTATAGAGTCGCTACCTTGAGAAAATATATTTCGGCTTTATTCCACGACCTCCACGTCAAACTTTGGCGTAAAGTTTGTAAGACTCAACTCCAGGGAAGACAAGGACGAGACCAAGTGACCTGAGGCGGTAGCTGAGGGAGTTGTCAACTCATTTGACGACGGGAGGCTCGTATCGTCCCTATCAGTCTCGTATTTGGCCTCACGATTCGCCTGAAGGCTGGGTCGTTGGAAGGCACGAGGTGGCACATTAATCCCACACACCGTGTGCACAGATTCGCAGTTTGACTCTTGGCGTGAGTGGAGACGTGATCGTCCCACCAGATTGGCATTGCTGTCTTGCCTGGCATATTCGGGCATCTGGCAAGCCAAGGCAGGAGGTGGCGTATATCCCAGCTTTCTCAGACGATTCAAGACCGTGAATTCCAGCTTCAGCTTGATGCTATAAACCACGGTTTTGAGGCTGACTTCGATGTAGTGAAGCTTGTACTCGGCCACGAGCAGCAGAATGTTCATCAGGACCACAAGAATATTGATCCAGAGTAGGTGAAGGATGACTTTTCGGTCCTGTTGGTGATGTAGATCTCGCTTATCCCTCCTTCTTTCCACTGCCTGATGTATATAGACACCCGAGAGAACCAATTCCTGCATACAGAATCCGGTCACCTGGATCCGATCGTAGATAGCTGCCGGTCCGGCAAATTCGCTGTGACCACTATTCAGACCGTAGAAGAGTACCGTCGTCGGAATATGTAGGATGAAGAAATTTGTAATAATCATCCATAGCACCCAGCGAAGCTTCAGGGGGTTTGTCGCAAGCACATTCAGGCGGGAATAGAGCACCACGGCTTGTCCAGTCACCATGGCATACCACCCCAGAATGAATGGGATTGACATGGCCAGGTTGGATGACTGAGATACAAATCGTATCATAGCCGGGATTGTATGGACCAGGATGCCCCACGATGCTACCTGCATGCTCCAGAAATAGAGCCCTCGGTAACGTCGGAATGAGTCGAACACGGCGATTCCCGTCTCCAAGGCGTTGTAGGCGCCGATCGAAAACATGGATATAATTTGAATGATGGAGATGTTCTCGATGAGGATGGCTCCTACGTTAGGCGGCAAGTTGGTGATGGTTGTGTCCATGACAACGTAAGGCAGGCGTAAATGGAAAGATCACGACTGTGAACTGAGACAAACGAGGTCCAGTGAAATATCACTTCCGGGCCTAGCTATTAGTTATTATATCGGCCTGAGTGACATAATCACACATGAATAGAACCAATCCTTAGGCCATTGTACGAGAGTTCACCTTCAAAAGTCATGATGTATTCTATCCGCACGATTTCACCATACGACAAGGGGAATGAGACTAAGTACGAGTAGAGTTGTACTTCGAGTCGTATCAATCCTCTGGGAATCAGTACTTCTGAAAACCCCTTGTGGGGTAAGGGTTTTCTGGTTTGGATCAAAGGCGCGACTGGCGGTGATAAGGAATGGCCCGAGTAAAGCCACAAAGGTTATTTCTCCCGGATATCCATGGGTAGGAAAATATTGGAATTATATTTGTCAATGGTCGTGTTCGCACGCTGACGGAAATGCCCCTGTTCCAACAAACTACGCGTCAACAATGCAATGGACATATAAGGCGCAAAAGAATCCATACAGCTGATCCATGGAACCGAATGTTTGACATCACAACTGCCATGAATCATCGGCTTTGAATTTGGAATTATGCCCCTTGGTTGATGCCGGTGGGCCCTGAAAGTCTAACATACAAGACTATTACTTATTCCGGCCTTGCGGGTCGGTAACTCCTATCACGGTTATGGCCGTTCCAAACTTCTCGAAACAAATTATTTTGTCAAAAAATCCCGTCACTGAAAGAATCCCATGCAGGTCAAGTTGGTTCCCTTGGGCATCTTGACTTTGGGGTACGTTTCTCGGGAGGGAACTTCTAGAACAGGTCCAGTTCATTTTTGACCCACTCCGGTACTTTACTGCCAGCAAAATCCAGGCTACGAGCGATCTCCTTGTGGAGTAGCTTTGTTCTTGCTGGCCAGAAGGGAGCGTGCCAGCTTTTTGCCCAGAGTCGGAAGCGTTGCGTGTGGAGCTACACGGGATCAGCAAGTGTTGCTGTAGTCTCTCCCTTCGACTTGGACTTGGCACGTTGAATTGAGTAGATTTTACTACGTGACAACTATTCCTCGTGAATGGAATCTTCATCCTAATCTCCGTGTGTAATGGAAGATGATGTTGTAAATTTAAGATGTCCATGATCTGTCTCGCAACGCCAGCTTCCTCGATCATCACATTGTGATCAGTTGCAAAAGCTTGAGCAGCCCCATACCTTTGACTATCTTACCTCCATCCAGAAATAAAACACTGCCGGTGCTCTAGATGCGTCTGCAGGCGTTTACGGTTTGAGTTTTAGCATTGACCTGAAACAGTCTCCATTGTAACGCTACAACAAAGAGTTATGGTAGATTCAACAAAAGGATCCACGTTGCGAATGTTTCAGACAGAGATACACAATTTAGGAGAATCATTTGCTGTAACCTGATCAATTTAGTAAGGCATTTTGCTAATGTTGTGTGCTCATTTTGAGCACCATGAAAGTGGAGTGCAGGGATTTCCTTATCAAATTCAGAATGATGGTGTGCTCTTTTGGGTGCTTTGTGATCCGAATGTGAATATGCTTGCAATGAAATTCAGTTTCTCTTCACATTAGGTCAACTTTAATTTCTGCACTAACATTTTCCGAGCCATCGGTGAGTTACTCTAGAAAGTAACAGGGCGCACCATTCTGATGCTAGTTCAGTATCCAGCATTTCTATGCCCTAAATTTTAGCTGAGATTGCCTCATGTTTCATATTCCGTATTATGATCATCTATATATAATCCATCGGTTTCCCATGAAGGGTAACCACCACCATCTCTGGTTCTCCTGCACGCGAGGGTTCAACTGTCTCCGAGCTGAAATTTTACGATGCGGCCCAGCATCAAGTCTACGCAGAGTGAGAGAGGTTGCTCAAGGCCAAAGTCAGACGCCCACATAGGTGAATTGGACAGAATTCATTCTCGATCATCAGCTACCTCTGACACCTTTGAACACCGTGTACTGCGATCAGCCAAGCGCTCAGCTACGGATCAGGTAAGGTTTTCCGGCTTTGTGGATCTTCCATCTCTAGCCAGCCCTCCACAGAGCCTTTTCCCAACGCTTGTTCCCATATTGACCTTGAATACAAGTTGCCATTTCCGCACAAAAGACGACGAGAAGACGACAATCACGACAGTCTGTCTGTTCACAAAGCCTGTTTCAAACACATAGGCAGGGCCCAAGAAAAGCTTTTCAGAGCCCGGGAGGACCAGGATCAAGAGCGAGCAGAGAGTGCCCAAGTCATACAGCGGCTGCAGATGGAGAAGGCGGAAGAGATGGCAAAATTGAGAAAGGTACTGGCGGAGAATGAGAATCTCTCATGCGAAGCCAAAAGATTGCAAATGGAAGCCAGTCAGTTGCAGCAGCAGCTTGAATCTTTCAATTCCGCCATGCAAGGCCAAGTGGCATGGAATGATATCCAACCAGCTCTGTATCAAGCTCACGGTGACCTGGTAGCAGCGGCCACGCAATTCTGGAGAAATGTGGAAGCCATTCAGAACCGACAGCTAGCTACCTATTTGCCAGGGTCCGGAGTGGTGGATACAGCATGGACCAGTCAAATCAGCGCACAAGATCCCATCGTTTCTACCTCATTGCCGGAGATTTCTGAACTGGGTGAATACTCTGTCCTGCCTCAGCAAGCGCCGACATCTGCAAATTAGAACCCCGAGGATTGCATTAGAGTGGAGGGCCTGGGCCGTCATGCGATTGTTTCATGCGGTATATTTTTGTGCAAAGTGAATGCCATCTTCCTATTATTATGTCGCGTATTATGATATCAGAAATTCATGTAGACCACGGCCCATTCAAATCGTACCTCATAGTTGCGACGCATGAGGCATAGTATTCCGTTGCGGGGACACCGCCTCACATTTGGGCAAAGCCCCATTGATCTACGAGCTGTCCGGAGAGAAACGGGGAGCAGGGGCCCACTAGGCATGTATTTCTGTCAAGAAAATAGGTCCACTGGTATTATCCAGCCAACTACTAGCCAGATTTGGTTAGCTTCCTCTCGTTTCACACACTTTCACATGCCCCTTTTCCTATGTTAGATAACCACCACCAATACACACATCTTCGATCCTATTCGCTCTGCCGCATACTAGTCCATACTGTTTTAGCTTGCTCTGACAATTTCTAGGTTTAAGAAATATTATGTAAAGAGAGGCCTTCGAAACTTACACCAGTCAGCCCCACTATAGTCCGCCGTACCCACTACCGATCGTGGTCTAGCCTTCTCCCAGCGGAGTCGAAAACTCAATTAACCATGATCGGCCGGGATCTACGATCCCACGAAAGTTAAATGGTACGCATGGTCTCCACTCGTTGCCGTTTTCTCGCCCTTTTCTCATACCCCACCCGGTCCATGCTATGTGGGGGATTACATTCTAGGTAGAGCGCACTTAACGTCCTTCGCTAGACCAGACTTCGGATAACGCTATGCGAAGTTTGCCAATCCTTCAGATATTTTCTTTTCAAAAATTCTTCACCAAATGAACACTATTCCTCCGTAATTATTCATTTCATCCTGATGATCAATTTGAATGCCAACGACATCTGTGTAGGAAGACTTGAACGATTGGAAAGATCTCGCTCATCGCCTCAAAGACCGTCTCCGCCCGGTTGGCAGACTCACCCGCGGAACCTGCTGTCCCACTTGCGAAGCCATGCTGACTTTCTCTTCCATGATAGCCAGTCGACCGAGTATATCCGCCAAATCGGCGCGGACCACCTCATTCACATTCTCTTGGTCGTGCATAGAATCTTCCACCATCCTGTGTCATTGATTAGCCCACGCGTCCCTCTAGATAATACGATACACCGGGGTTCAGTTTACTTCATTCTCACGTCTAGCCTTGGCAAAAAAGGACATTTAGCTTTAGAGGTTCAGGGACAATAGAGGTGGCACTTACTCTGCGACGCATTCCAGAGCTATCATGTCACGATCTCTTGGCAAGCCCGTCACTTGTTCAATATTGTCCGCCGTGTGAGCAGTCGGGAACAATTCAGGATCGATTTGTTTTTCGTATGTAGGACCAACACTGTCACGGGGCACGCTAGATCTATCGCTCTTCGAGAGAACTGACTGCTGATCCTCAGTAGTATCACCGGTGGATGACTCAAGTGCACCCTGAGTATCCTCGCTCTCAGATGAGGATAGACCCAGCGCACGTTGTAGTTGTTTTCGGAAGTCAGGTCGTCGAGAGGAATACGTCGAAGACTTTCGAATGGCACCCATACTGGTGTCTAGTGTCGTGAAACAGACGGCGTATTTTGTGGCTTTTTGGTTCACAGAGCCATCATTATATATTTTTCGACTAAACAACGGTCAATCGTCTGTTTGGTTTTTAATTCACAACTTCCGCCATTTGAATCCTAGCCCACGTGCCCAGCTATCCATTTCCGTACTTTCCATTTCCGGCGCCGAATACAGACATCAATTTCTGACGATCTGATGTTTCCCTTAAGTCAACGTTGATGGTTCCATCAACTCAAATGGCACCCCATCTTATTGGATAGTACCTACATTTTAACACAAGGCACGGAGCATGCGTGAACCAGGAAGCGTTGTACCTGTTCAAAACTCTGTGTTTCGCCGTTGAGGCGTGGAACTATCAACATGACAAATGGAGCGCTTTCAGTTCCACGGTTTGATCTCAAAAGTATATTTAATGTTACATCCTTTATCTATGTGGCAAAGGCCTGTGTGCCTCGACTTGGTTCGTTTCAGCCAACGTTAACAACCGTCGTTGATGGATGGGATATGTGTTGAGACGGGGCTTGTTAGTTGATTCATTTAATCCAATCAATTCAATCAATTATTCAGAGCAATGACTTGATTGACCTGTGGTTCGTTGAGAAAAGGATACGAACCTTGGATCGCATAAAACCAGAAGTATTAATGCTCAACAACGTCGACCTACCTGCCCTCTATTTTCGCCGTGCACAAACATTCTTCTTCCCATTGTGAGTGAGGTTATCACCATGTACTCGCGCAGTGCAACAGGATGGTCGGAATGGGAAGAGGATAACCTTCTTCCTTGGCTGGAAGAGAACAGCGAACTGCCGTGGACCGATCGCGCCCAAGCTTATTCGAAGCAATTCGGGGTGAGCCGATCTGTTGAATCCTTACGAGGGAAGAAATATCATATCCTACGAAAACGTCGGCTTGGTCGTGCGAGGCGGACACCGCGGACGCCGACCTCGGTGACCCGCGGGAAAAACCGACTTCTGAAAGTCACCGACGACAACACGCAAGGCAGTCTCTCGAGCAATGACTCTATCGATCGCAGCATGGTTGGACATTGGCTCCAGGGTATTCCAGAGGTTGCACAAAACTCCGCTAAGACTCAAGCGCTGCCGTCGGCAGAATTATCAACATGTGGTAAGAATGCCTTCGCTTTTGGTTCGGTCAAACGCTTACCTGCTCTTGCAGCTCATGAACTATACTCAGCGGACTACAACCAACAAGGGAGTCGATCACTCTCCAAGCTTTGCAACTATGTCCACTGGGTCTGTGAGAAAAGGCGGCTTAGATGATACGTGTTGGTCAGCGACTGAACCTTGCTTTACACTTCGAATAGAACTATTGTGTTGGAATTTCTCGCAATATTACAGGACTTAGCACTATATTGACAGACGCATAGTAATATTTACAGTGTAGTTCAGGCACCGAATATTAAAGAGACCACATATTGGAGATGATACGCGATCTTCCGATCTCATGCCCGTGTAACTAAATCAAACGTGTTTTGTCCGAGTTCGACTCTAATCTACGGAGTTACAAGAATTGGAGAAAACTAGCTGGTGGAATGGAAAGTCTTTCTGTTTTGAAGAAGAGTCGTCTAACTGGCATCTTTGAAGCGATGAGAAAATCCACTGTTTTAGTCAAGTTTGTTGACCGCGCAATCATGGCCTGAGGGGAACGTTGATAGTGAAGTTGATAGTGAAGTTGATAGTGAAGTTGATAGTGAAGTTGATAGTGAAGTTGATGGTGATGTTGATGGTGATGTTGATGTTGATGGTGATAGTGAAGTTGATAGTGATGTTGATGGTGATGTTGATGTTGATGTTGATTTTGACCCTGCGTTGGCGGACAGAAGGTTAGTCGTTCAACGGGCGCAGCGGGGTCACACTCGTTGAGCAGATTTTTGTCCGACTTGAGGGAAAGGCCCACCCACCCGCACTGTTATCAATCAACTTGGTCTTCTCGTCGTATATTCGGCCTCTTGTCTCCCTTTGAATACCAGTATTATTTGGACAGCAAACTCGTATCTATGGTCCAAAATCTCTCCAGTGGTCACACAGTGTTATGACCAGTGAGGAATCTACACCAGTTTCCTTCTAGGAAATATGACCGAGGTACATCATATAGTTGGGAGTAATACAGTTTCCCAGACACACCTACTGCCGGACTAGACCCAGATCATCATCAGATTGCTGTAGTGTCAAGTTTAAGTGGGGCACTGGGAAAGTAGGTACGTGTGTCTGAGGACAATCTTTTTTATTGCCTTTCCTGTACGTAACGGGTACTGATTTAAATAATTTGAAGTGCCAGGACATTCAATACACAATAAGATAGACTGAGAGGATGAAGTATTCAGCAACTACATCGATCACAGAGGTGATTTGCATGTGGAAAACCAACGATGCGGGATCAGCCTGAAACGAGCACAACTTGGCACCGAATAAGTGCGTGGTCGAGGTCCTCATTGTGAGCTTCCACCTGGGCATGGCCGACGGACTCGGAAGGCGACCCTCTATTCCCGACTTTCAAGACCGTGATACACCGGCGGCTGTCTCATCAGTAGCACAGTCAGCAGTCTACGTAGGCCTAAGTTTACCGAAGACCAGCCTGTAAAAGCGACTACGTAGATAGTTGAAGGAATTGACCGCAGGATGGAGGCACAATAAGCCCCTGCCGCCAGCCTCCAGAGCTCTGTCCAGCATCATGGCTTCCTCTTCATAGCTTCCAAGGTAGACGGAAGAACGTCACGTCATGTCGCATCATCCACGATCAGAACGATGATGTTCTCAAGATCAAGGCCAGAAAAGCCTGCTGAGGTCGGTAGAAGTGGTCAAAAATGAACGACCTGGGGATGCCATGGAATTAAGAACCGTGGAAATCATACACCCATAGACACACGGAATGACACGAAGGTGTCGCAGGAACTGGTTGAAGGAGACACAACCTCCGCAATAACAGCGAATTTTCCACGTCCACGCCATGCTTCCTTAGCGCGAACGACCACTCATCCTTGGACGGCCCATCGAACAAAGAGGCTGAACGTGATGGATCTGTAAAATAGTCGCTGACGCATCTAGCGTGATGTGGCTATAAGCATTAGATGCCTCTCAAGCCTGTCCCGTGTTCGCTTCTCTCACAACAGGCTTCTCCCCCATCATTGCTTCCTCTTCATAGCGTCCCACACCTACCCAGAAGCATTTCTCGGATGGAATCGACATCATTCAACACAAAATTTTCTGCGCTTTTCTACTCAGCAAGAAAATAGGCATCCATTTTTTGAAGCTCAAAATCAACTTGTCTTCAGCAGGTTCGAGGCTGGTGCTCTATAGTCACGTGATAGAGGAGAAACGAGGTGGTCCCCAATGAGGAAATAAGCTGCACCGGTGCTTCAAAATCAGTAATCACGTGGAAAGATGCATCTTTCCGTATTTTGAAGGCACTATTTAGGGCCCTGATATGCTCGACAGCGCTAGAGACGGCGCTCTATTGGGGAAGGATAGCAAGGGAGTGGCAACTTTCAGAGCACTCGACCCCGAGACTCCAGAGCTCGGGGAATGATTGAGCAGTGATGCAGGCCAATTACCTGAGACGAAGCCTCCTCGGAACTGGAGAGGCCGATTTTGGCCCGCCGATGGCTGCTTTGGAAATGGCTCGGCAAGACAGTCGGTTCACGCTTTACTTGTACGTGGCCTGCACTGCCTGTTGTCCCACAGATTGTGGCCCTCGTGTCAACCACAGTTGAGTTGAATCGCTCAACCGGTACACCTTGAAGTGCCAGCGGTTGCAATCGCGTATGGGCCGCTTGCCGGACGAGTCGGTATGGCCCATTGAGTTCGGTGAGATCGGCTTTTTCGTTGGGGAAAGTGTGCTTGTTTTTCATCGGAATCTTCCTGAAACCCCGGATTCGTCTCGATTCGTTCGCAAATGTTGTGGAAGTACAGCGATTCGCTAGCATTTATATCCATGCATCACAAAGGCCGAGCGGATGACACGCTGAAATGCACATTCGCTGAATTCTCCAGGGCACGGGCCGATCGAAATCGGTAGGTATCGATCAGCCGGCAGGTAGATATCGTACTCGGAAAGAATTAGAAGGTTGGCCAGTGTTGAGCGGCCTGTCGTGAGCAAGAATGGCACAGGGTGTGGGTGATTGCCAAGCCGACCATTTGGGTGGAAAGACAGCGCGGTGTCTCCGAGGACGCATTGGGTGGGAGGGAACGCGTCGCTAAGCAGTGCTTGGCACCTGGGTGGCCTCGGTAAAGATCCACCGCGAACGGTTAGGCGGTGAGGTCGTGCAAGACGCGTGCAAGACGAGTGCAAGTTTGTGCCGTGCTCTGCCAATCCCGCAGGATTGGTCTGGTCGCCGCGCTTGAACAATACCCCTTTCCGTCAGTACAGTATGCATTCCGTCAAAGAAGAGCCCACTCACAAGTCTTCATCTTCACTATTGCCCACGCTTTGCTTCGCTCTAAAGATGCTCGGTGGACCGTTTGGACAACGCACAGCTGACTTTGGCACGGATCAGCCCGACTTCCTCCTACTTTCAACCCAACGCCTCGTCGTATTGGGCTGCCCTTCAGCCAAGGTCATGTGTGACGATTGATAGGCGATAGCACGTTGCAGATGCTCGAGATGTGTTGCGTAACGGAGCTGGTGGCTTCAAAGGTTCGGGGTGTGTGCTGTTCATATCAGTAAGCGAAGGGCTCGGACAGTATCAAAGGTGAGAAACTCACCATGAGAATCATAAGACTGTTAAACCAAAGCGGTGACCCTTTGGCAAAGTATGGCAAATGATCCGATGTTCAAGATGCGGGCTCAATGGCGCACGACAGTCGCTACAGTCCTCGTCTGTCCCTCGTTGATGACGAGGGCTGCATTTGGGGATCCCCCAGCTATCGCATGCGATGCGACACGAGGGACGGTTTCGAATTGATATTCGATTTCTGCTGCAAGGGATGTATCTAGTCTTATAGACAACATCTAAACGCCGC